ACACTTGCTTTGTTCTGTGACGCATCGGACAATAGCGCAGGAGCCGTACTACAACAATACATAAATAAAAAGTGGCAACCACTCGGGTATTATTCAAAAAAGTTCTCAGAGGCACAAAAAATGTATTCAACTTTCGACCGAGAGTTACTGTCGATATACATGGCAGTGAAGCATTTTAGAAAGTCATTCGAAGGACGGAACCTAATAATCTTCACCGACCACAAGCCTTTAACATTCGCCATGGCAAAGTCACAATCCTCATCCGAAACACCGCGTAGGACAAGACAGCTTTTGTTTATCAGCGAATTTACCACAGACATACGCCATGTGAGCGGTAAACAAAACGTAGTCGCCGACGCACTCAGCAGGATAGAAACAATAGCCTGCCCAACAACAATAGACTACGCGGAACTAGCCACTGCGCAAGACAAAGACGCGACCATTGCACCCCTATTGAAGCAAGACAACATTCTACTAAAGAAAGTGAACGTTCCAAACACAGATGTCGATTTATATTGCGAGACTTCAACGTTGTACGCCCGTCCATATATACCCGAAAAATACCGCCTCGACATATTTAACAGCATTCATAACATTAGTCATCCGGGAATCCGCACAACTCGCAAACTTATAACAAAAAAATATTTCTGGCCGTCAATGAATATTGCCCATATGGCGTATGGGCTAGAAACTGCATAAACTGCCAGAAAAGCAAAATTAATCGACACACTACTTCGAATATAGCAACCTTCCCGCCAGCCGACCGCTTCCAACACATACACGTAGACATTGTTGGACCACTACCTACAACTGCGACAGGTGAACGTTACCTCATCACGATGATCGATCGACACACACGATGGCCTGAAGCAATACCTACCGATGACATATCAGCTGATACTGTGGCTGACGTTATCTACAAACATTGGATTTCGCGTTTCGGATGTCCAACGACACTAACCAGCGACCAAGGTCGTCAATTCGAAAGCTTTCTTTTTACCAACTTAATGAAGATTATGGGAATAAAGAAAAATCGTACCACACCATATCATCCGCAATCCAATGGCATCGTTGAACGCTGGCATCGCACACTGAAGACCGCACTGCGAATCAAACTTAGCAACACAAGCTCTTGGATCGACGAACTACCAACCGTGTTACTCGGACTAAGAGCCACTCTACGGAGCGACACCGGCGTCAGCGCAGCTGAATTAACTTACGGCTATAACTTACGGCTACCTGGCGATTTCTTTCAAAACAACTGCACCAACTCAACAACTATGAACTATACTTACGTAGAAAAGTTACGGGAATACATAAACAATAACAAGCCACGTTTCACCACATCGCATCACAATAGTAACAAACACATGTTCGTGCACCAAGATCTAAAAAAATGCACGCACGTGTTTGTCAGAGTCGACGCAGTAAAAAAGCCACTTCAACAACCATATGAAGGTCCTTATCGAGTCGTGGAGCGCACAGATAAAGTGTTTACGATCCAGTTACCAAATCGTCAAGCAGCTATCTCCATCGACCGATTGAAGCCTGCATACATCATAGAGGAGAGTTATGCAACAGATACAGATTACCAACATACGCCTGAATTTACCAGTTACCATAATCATACCTTTATAAGATTACCACATCAAAGCACGAATACCCCCACAACATTACCATCAATGCCTTTACCAGACTCAAGTGTAAGAAACAACGACGTGACGTCACAGCCAGCAGAGAAGCGAACTAGATCTGGCCGTGTCGTCAAGCTGCCGGTACGTTTCACTTGAAGGGGAGTACTGTGGCTACACCACCAGTAAGACAGTAATAAGACTACATCAGTTATAGGAAAATTTATTTGTATATCCGCCAATGAAATAAGGAGCTCTTAAAAGAACTATTTCAACGTCACTGTCCGTATGAAACAAAGGAGAAAGCAACGCAACAAGTGCGTGTCAACAGCTGCGCGCCACATGTCAACCTTCCGCAGCGCAGTCACCCGCACGCTCACCCGACGCCTGGCAAAAGGGATCTCGTTAACTCTATGCCAGCCTTTATACGGCACGTCACACGATCCCTCGCCCCGCGTCTCAGTCCCTTTCCCTTTCCTCTCGTCACTTTCCCCTTCCATTGTAAATATTGTAGCTTTCTCGCAATTGGTTTAAAATGTACATTTCTCATTGGTTAAGTTTGTATTTATAATTTTAATTGGTTAATATTATATTACGTTTTAGTATAAGTAGCTGTAAGATTTGTAAATAAAACATTCCATCCTTCCACCTTCTACGGAGTTTTACTACCTGACGACAAGCAAGCCTACGACCCGATCAGAGTTGCCAAAGTGTACTGTGGCGACTGATACATAGCGACATCTAACTCATCGCACTAACATTGCCACAACAATCGATAGCGAGAAGACTAGCATCGTCACAGCCATCGATAGCACGACGAACTACAATAAGTTTCAACAGCAAGTAACGAGATGGCGCTGTACCAATACAAACAGCATAAATTAATAACTAGAAGACATTTAGAACAAAGAAACCTACATCGCACAGAATAAGTTTCATTACCAATTAACATAAATAGAACGTCCAACCTACATCGGTCGGACCGCGGTCCCCGGGCTAATAACACCTAGCTCGGAGGGAGACAATTATCCTTTAGTCTCCCTAGCCAGTTGTCTCCTTCACCACAATAGGAACCCCAACCTCCAACCTTACGGTTCCTAAAGTCAACAATTTTGCACGAAAACCTTTTGCAATTACGATATTGATGAGAGCCCTTAATGAGACACTTGTGACAGACCTTTTGAGAAGAAACCCACTCCCACCTCTTTTCAGAGGAAAGGGCGCTAAACTTATGGCAGGACCTTACCACGTGACCTGAAGTTTCACAGTACGAGCACACCTTTTCTTTTGGCATCGGAGAAACAATTGGTACAGATGACGCGGTAGAAGTAGTATGACAATGTTCTTTGCTTACAGGTTTATCTTTCACTTCAGGTACCTTGAAAACTTGGTATCTGACCCGCAAGTTGGCTTCCTGCATCAAAAAATCGGACAGAAGTTCGAGCCTATATTTATATGGATCCGCCTTTTCCCTACTGGCTGCAAAATCAGCCCATCTAGACCGAAGCAGCGGGGTTAATTTGCTAACAATTTCGTTCGAAAGCTCTGGGGAGGCAAGATATTCAGGCCGATGCAGCAGACGCACCACCTGCACGCAGTTGTGAACCTTAGAAGCAAAAACATTAAGCTCATTCGCGCTCTCGTGACTGGAGTTTTTGAAGTGCACGAGCGGATGCAATTTCAGTCAGGATGATTTGCTCAGGTCGAGCAAAAACAGTCTCGAGAGCTCGAATGACCTCCGAAGGGTCGCGTGTGACTACAAGAAGAACAGCTACAGAGTCCCGTGCAGGACCGCGAAGGGCTGCATTGATTCTTATGAGGTTCTCTGAGTTTGTAAACGACGGGCTTGTTTCATCATAAATCTTCTTAAAGATTAGCCAGTCTGTTGGCCGACCTTCAAAAATAGGAAGAGGAAAGCTTACCTTTGGTGTCTTCGCTGCTACCGCGACGCTGGCTATGGCGTCAGCTAAGTTTTGAATAGAATTTTGGTTTTCTAATGCTTTATTATTTGTGTTACATTTTTGAGCGTTTTGTGTACCTAATGCAGAGTGTGAGTGAGAACAGGGTGGCTGCCAGACAGGCGCAGTCGGCGCCGTTACAGTCGGCGTCCGTGGTGAAAAGGCTTTAGAAACGCCCTGTGCAGCGTGTGCTTGACCGAAGTTCTGAGGAGGCATTAAGTATGTGTGTGCACACCCTGGCAAACGGGGCGTACAAGGCGCAAGGTGTGGTACAGAGGTAACTTGCGCCATAGTTGTGACTGGGTAGTGCGGTACGTAGCATCCATTAACTTCAGTAGGTTGAGGCCCAATAGGTGCGCACGTATACGCAAAATTGGGCACAGAAGTCTCAGGGCACGTATCTGTACATAAATGGGCACTTGTTATTATTGGAATGTTAGATGTGACGTTAATTGTGGTACGTGTGCGTGGTAGGGGCATGCTGGCATTCGATGAGATGGGGGCTGCAAAACCCTCTGCGTCTCTTGATGGCGACGAATGCGCCTCTAGAATATCCACGCTAGCCATCGGTGGCACCTGTACATATAAATTGTCACTATAAGATATAGTATTCTTCATTACGTTTTCATTTAGCCAGCTATGAACGGTGCGGCGACTATGACGACTAGAAACACTTGAACGTCGGCTGGAAACCTGACTGGTTCCCTCTGTGGCCTCAATTGCGGCCATTTCCGCACGGTGCTCTGCCTCCGCTATGGAGCGGTCGGCTTCTAAGGAGGCTCGACGTTCTGCCCTCTCTAAGTCCGCAATACGGCGGAGGTACGCAACCTCCGCAGCAAGCTTTTGTGCCTTAATAGATGATGTTGAGCCGACCGATGAGCCCTCGCTCTGATCGGTGCCCATAGCTTTAGCTTTTGATCGGGTTATCATGATAGTTATGTAATAAAAACGTATAATAACAAAATAATGAATATGGAACGTACTTACGTTTTTATGGTGTGGATTATTACTTACACACGACTTTGTAGTATTTAAATACTACGAAAAAATATATTTTAAAATATTTGAAATCGTGAGTAAAATTTTTCCTGACTTCTTTGACACCACTTTGTTGGGAACTCATTTATTCTTTCTTTTATTATTTAAATATAATACAACCATAGATTAGATATGTGGCCTGCTACGTCGGTGACAAAGGAAAAGCTGCTTTCCTAATTACATACATGTCAATTATAGCCTATGTCGCTCACATATGATGTAGCTTCCTTTAAGTGTAAGCAAAGATTTATTTTATAGGTGAAAAAATAGAATCAGTCTTTTCAGCCTACTCAATACATACAAATCTTCTTTGTTTATAATATTAGTACTTATAGAGTATGTTAGGTCATTGTTACTAGAGATAAATCAGAGTAGGGTTGGGTATTATTTGTTCCCTAAGAAAGAGTTGTAAAACAGTGTGAAGTTGTCCATCATCAGGATGGAAAATAAACACATTGGTTGGCATAAAACTAATTTTAGTTCACAATTTCATTAATTCTTATTCAAAATTTATACATAAACTTAAAATCAATTTTTAAAGAAATATACAGTTTTACATAATAATCAATATACAAAATTTAAACTTAAGATAGTTCTATACATAAGGATTCCAATTGCTTCCATCTTCAGGGTGTAAATTGTTTGTGATAAGTAACACAACATCAACTATCCACCAGATACCAAGACCACCGAGAGTTAGCAGTTTTCCCACTGCAGTTCCAGTTTGACCGAGGCAGAAACGATCCATTCCCAAGAAACCTAATAATATACTGTATATCAGTGTTGTTGTAAAATAATGTCCAGAGTAACGTATACAAGGAAAACCATCCTTCAAGAAAGTCCTACTACCGTGGCACTCGATGTTGTCTAGAGCTTTACACTGCACTTTGGTTCGTTCCACTTTCTCATACAAAACTCCTCCAAATCTAACACATCCGTGCCCTGTGATATCTCTCGCTGTCTGATTGCCTTTGTGGTCGATTGGCTGATCGCAGTTTAAAAATTCCAAAGGTAGAAAACTGCATTTTACTAGCGGTCCAAGAGGTCGATAGGTTTCACTGTCATATGGATTGCTGTCAGTGTGAGCAGTTGGTAAGATGGTGAAAATTGATAAGATTATTGTAGACAATGTATTTGGTTCTGTCATTATTTATCGTGTTTAAGCCATTTCTTAAAAGGAGAAAAAAACATCAAAGTGAAGTAGTAATAGCACAGAACAATAACACTCTACGAAGTTGTAGTGTCATCTAGGGATGTTCGATATTCATTGATGTTCAGTTAGAAAATATCGATGTTTTAAAATCGATAACATCGGCACATCGTTTATGAATAAAATATCAATATATCCTTAGGGATATATTATATTATAAAATACATTATTAAATATCAATGGGTATGTTCCGATATACATTGCGACCACTGAACAGTATGACGTCAATTTAGTATACTGGAAGCCCGTTCCTTTATAGCTAGTTATACTGGTGACTTTTTAAAACGGAACGCAGTCCAGTATACTGTTAATCCTATTTTTTGGCGCCATTTTCATATTTGTTAATGCAAGATGAATATAAATAAAGATTCCCTCTTTTCAAAAGAAAATATTATAAAATTGTGTATAAAAAAAATATTTATCAATTAAATCCATCTTAAAATAAACTTATCATTTTCTGATTCTGTTTCGACTGATCACGTGATCAAAAGCACTGCGAGCACCTTACCTCGAAATCTCCAGTGCTCACAGTACAAATATGGCGGCAATTTATGACGTCATAAATTTCCCTAGGGAACTGTAGCAGTGTACTGGCAGTCCATAACGGAACGGATTTTTCAGCAGTAAGACCACTGCGCAGTGCTCGCAGTGTATATCGGAACATACCCAATATATCCTTAGGGATGTATTGATATATATTTTTCATATAACGTGCTCTAGATGTACTAGCTAAATGATCTCATATATCAAATTCAACTACATGTCATCGGTTGCATTCCTAACTGGAGTAACCGAACAAATAGTTTTCTTTACTTGCATTTTTAAAGGAATTTAAAAGTAAATCTGTCGACCCGATAACCTATTTTAATGACTGTTTTGATTTTATAGGTTATTTTACTTAAAGATAAAACTTAATAAAAAGCTTTTACAAACAACCAAAACTTAAAAATTCCATTTATTGACAACATCAAGAAGAACAGAGTAAAAAAAAAACAATTTAAACACCAAGTTGTCATTAATAAAACTATAAATTAAACAAGAAGGTTTTCAATGTAAAGGAGTTTACTCTATTAATTTTGAGAACAAAAATTAATAAATTGTCCGATTTTTTAGAGATTTATAAGACACCAACTGCTTGCTGATTTTGTTTTGGATTGAAGGTATAATGGTTCAAGAAGATTCTTTTTCGGTGTCGGGTAGCTTCGCATGTATGAGTGACGACTTATACTAAACTAATTAAAGTGCGACTCACGAAAGAAGTCCCTCGGATCACAATGTTTTCGCTTTTATTACAATGAATGAATATGAAAGATATACTAACTAAACTCTTTTTTATTTCATATTTCAAAATAGGGATGATGGAGTTTTTGATAATCAACGATGTTAAAAGCAAAAATAACAATGTCTTAACAATCATCAATATTAACTCACGGCCTCATGCAAGACCAATGCATTATTTAATTTTTGATAATATTATAATCAATTGAAATTAATCGATATTACCAAATAATTGCAAAAAATCATCGATGTATTCCAATATCAATGTTTTTCTAATATTGATCATCTCTAATGTCATCCATGACATGAGATAGGCTAAGGAACTGAGCCATTCATTATCTATCAGAAACCCCGAGCATAGCCCTTTCCATTTCCCTCTGAGCGACCTTGAGCTTCCTTATGAGGCCCATCGTAAGCGGCCACGTCTCCGTTCCGTATGTCATCACTGGCAACACGCATGCAAGGTTCGCAAAACTCAGGTGGGATATCTTGTACTAACAAGAATCGGCAAGAAACTCAGCAATGGCTGCTTTTTTAATTTCAACTTTACAACTCAACTATAATATTATTGACGCAGCGTAATGACCTAACGCACATGACACCACTGCAGAGATTTTTAAGAGAGCATTACTAATCTAGGTACTAGACTGCGCACACTGCGCACCGAGGAGAAACTGCTGGAATTGAGAAGGAATTGGGCGGGATTCGTTGGAGTATTGTAGGTCTATCCGAAGTCCGAAGAGAGGGCTAGGACACGATGATCCTTAAATCCGGCAACCTGCTCTATTTCCGAGAGGGCGAAGATCTGTCCCAAGGTGGTGTCGGGTTTATTGTCCACATGTCTCTCGTGAACAATATTGTACAGATCGGAAGTGTATCGAATAGGGTGGCGTACCTTGTACTCAGAATCACCGAGAGGTATTCGCTGAAGGTCATACACGTTTACGCCCCGACCTCGACGCACCCCGAGCAGTAGGTGGAAGCCATGTATGAGGACATTTCTCGGGCAATACATGTTTCCACGACCCACTACACTGTTGTCATGGGAGACTTCGACGCAAGGCTAGGCAAGCGTGGCGATGAGGAGTTGAAGGTGGGGCAATTTGAATCTGGGATCCGGAATCACCGTGGTCAAATGCTAGCTCACTACATGGAGAGGGAAGGACTCTATATGATGAACTCCTTCTTCAAAAAACGGTTGCATCGAAAAACTTGGAAGAGTCCGGATGGGGTGACAAAAAGCGAGATCGAAGTCATCATGTCGACTAAGACTCGGATATTCAATGAAGTCTCAGTGATCAATTCGTTTAATACGGGAAGCGATAACGTAAGAAGCGCATTGAATCTAAACGCAAAGCCGAATGGTATCGACTGGTGAAGTCTACGCTCCGTCCTGAAGCCACCCAGATCTTTCAGCTCAAACTTCAAAACCGCTTCGATTGCCTGGAGAGCTGCTCGGATGTGGACGAATACAATGACAAGGTCGTAGAAGTTGTCCTTACGGTGGGTTCAAAATTTCTAAAACCTTGCCGTACTCAAAAAAGAAGCAAGACCTCGGAGCAAACAAGCAAGCTAATGGAAGAAAGGCGTGGAATGGTTCTGCAGTCTTCTGAAGAAGAATGCTCGTCGGCAACTCAATAGACAGATCCCGAAGTCTCTCACACGCGACATACGCCAATTTAAGACTCAATGTTATAAAGAGGCGATTGAGATGAATAAAGCAATACGACTTCAGCGTGGAGTGAGACAAGGCGATGTTATATCACCGAAACTGTTCACTGCCGCACTGGAGGACGTGTTTAAGCTTTTGGACTGGAGAGGACTTGGCATCAATATAAACGGTGAGTACATGACGCACCTTCGTTTTGCTGATGATATCGTAGTCATGACTGAGACCATGGAAGATCAAGACACAATGCTCGAAGACGTCTGTGGAGTTTCCCAGCAAGTGGGTCTTAAAATGAACATGGAGAAGACAAAAATAATGTCAAACTCCCATGTCGTACCCACTCCAGTGAATGTTGGAGGCTCTACACTGGAAGCTGTCGACGAGTCGTTTACCTGGGACAAATAGTCCAATAGGCTTGTGTCCTAATAGTGAAAATACAGGTTTTTGTTATATCTTCGAAAAATATGAACCATTTTAACTTATAAATGTTTAACAAAACAAATTTTAAGTCAATGATTTGGAAAATATTACGCTTTGAAAACTTGAAAAAAGTAGAGAAAATCTACAACAAAAAATTGCTAAAATACATAAGGCATTAAATTAAATATGAAAAATATTACAACTTTCATTATAATAGCTATAAATATAAACGCACAAATAACAAAGATATTACAAAAAATGTCCAGACGCCCATACATTTTTCGCTACTGCAGCACCGTGTGACGTCACTGAGTGCCTTGTATTTGTAGGGAGCGTTTTCGGCCAACTAGCAGCAGTTCTACAAACACAGCACCGTATCTCCGAAACTATTAATCGCAGACATGTTGTTACTTCGACATTATTTATCAGATGTTAATGGACTATTAATTTATGAAATAAAAAAAAAGTTGTCAACTAGCCTATTAGGTAAGTCCAACTTCCAGAGAGAGGTAAATCGAGGGATCCAACTCGGCTGGGCAGCGTTCGGGAATCTACGCAGTGTATTCTGGGAATATCTACCGCAGTGTCTCAAGACGAAAGTCTTCAATTCGTGCGTGTTGCCAGTGATGACATACGGAACGGAGACGTGGCTGCTTACGATGGGCCTCATAAGAAAGCTCAAGGTCGCTCAGAGGGCAATGAAAAGGGCTATGCTCGGGGTTTCTCGGCGAGATCGAATCAGAAATGAACAAAAGTGACCGACATAGGCCAAAAATATGCGAACCAGAAGTGGCAGTGGGCAGGGCACATCGCTCGCATGACTGACGGCCGTTGGGGCGGTAAGGTCCAAAGTCAAAGTCAAAAGTCAAAATAATTTTTATTCAAATAGACTTCTTAACAGTACTTTTGAATCGTCCAACATGTTCTTCCCTATCATTCGTTCAGGACGTCTTTTGGCTGATAAGAAGATCGAGCAAGAAACTCACCAGTTCGAATAAGAGTAAAGACATTTACAAAAACCATGTCATTACCAGATCAATACATTATAAACCGAGAGAGAAAAAAAACTATGGTCTTATAACATAATCATTTAATAATAATGGAAACAATCCTGGACCTCTGGATAGAAGTATCACCTATGTGGAGTTGCTGGATCATCTCAAGTTCAAGCGTTCTTATCTGTTATATAATCCTTTTATTTTTTTACATAGCAGCGATAATAATAATAAAAATCGACTATTTGCTATGCTAATAATCAGGATCACAATAATTTCTGAGCGTGAAGGGATATCGACATTGATTTATCGTTTCTGAAATATTGTTGCATCCCTAAAATCAAGTTGTCACTGTCACTGTCATCACAAAAAGTGATTTTCTTTTACTGAGTTGGTCATTTGGCTGAGGAATGAAATTAGTTTTCTATTCAGCCATATATATTACTCTCAGTAATAGAAATGGAAGTGTTTAATAAATTTTATTCATCTGTTAGTAATACTGTCTCACAGTTATCAGGAGTATTACCTGGTAATCCGGTAACAAGAGAGTTTGAAGCAACGCAATTCATCGCGAGTGCTGGTCCAGGTAAATAAGGCTTTACCATATTAAAGTAAACATTAATTATTCTTATTTATTATGTATTAACGTTTCGTTAAATGTATCGGTTAAAGGTTTACTATGGAAAATTTACAAAGGCTACAAGAAATCTACGAAGCAAGAGGCCTCGATATTTGTATTTGAAAAGAAACATCTCGATAGATGGTCTAAAGCCGATAGAGATATAATGATGGAAATTTTGAGGCGAGGCATCGTTCAGTTGACAAAGCTGCGGCACCCTCAAGTACTGACAGTTCAACACAGCCTTGAAGAGAGTAGAGAAAGTTTGGCTTTCGCAACAGAACCTGTGTTTGCAAGCTTAGCTAACATTTTAGGCAACACTGAAAACATGCCACAGCCAATACCGAGTCACTTAAATAATTATAAACTCTATGAGTTAGAGATAAAATATGGTTTGATGCAAGTTGCTGAAGGTTTAGCATTTTTACATAATGATGTCAAGCTACTTCATCATAATTTGTGCCCAGAATCAATTATAGTAAATCAGCAGGGTGCATGGAAGATATTTGGTTTTGATTTTTGTATTGCCAATCAAAGTGGACCAGGGGTAGCCCCATTTTGGCCATTTGCTGAATATTGCCAAGCTATGCCTCCTCTGACTCAACCTAGTCTCGATTACTTAGCTCCAGAATATGTCCTATCTGCTACACACTCCCCAGCTAGTGATATATTTTCTTTAGGAATGGTAATATATGTTTTGCACAGTACTGGCCATCAAACTCTAGGAAATATTTGTAATGATTATTCTAAATTCAAAAGGTTTGCTATTGATATTAAAAGTTTACCTTCCTCTCGGTTGTCATATGTGGCTGAAGGTTTGAGAGAGTATGTCAAGCTCATGCTGAATGTGACTCCTGAATTAAGGCCAGATCCACATCAGTTTCTTAAAGTGAGTAATTTTTTATCATTAACAATAGTCTTTACATTTGTTATCAAAGAGTTGCATTATTAATTTTATTCACTTTATTTTGCAGATACCATATTTTGAAGATGTTGGAGTTAAAACATTGAATTACTTGGATTCTTTATTCCAATGGGATAATTTACAAAAATCTCAGTTTTACAAAGGTTTACCCCAAGTGATACAGAAGATGCCTCACCGAATATGTATTTATCGTATACTGCCTTGCCTTACTAAGGAGTTTGTAAACCCGCCCATGGTACCATTTGTGCTACCAAATGTTTTGCTCATTGCTGAAAACTCTACAAAGGATGAATACATCAAATATATTCTGCCTGTGTTAAAACCTGTCATGTTGATTCAGGATCCCATACAAATATTACTTATATTCATGCAGAAAATGGAGCTCTTATTAAAATTAACACCAGGGGAAGAAGTTAAAAGTGACATTTTACCGATGTTGTATAGAGCTTTAGAATCTGATGCTCAACAAATACAGGAGCTGTGTTTGTCAGTGCTTCCAACGTTTGCGTCACTGATAGATTATCCTGCTATGAAAAATGCACTCCTGCCACGTATAAAAAAATTGTGTATGAGTACAAACTACATATCCGTGCGTGTGAACTGTTTACTGTGTTTGGGAAAACTTTTAGAGCATCTAGATAAATGGCTAGTTTTAGATGAGATCATTCCATTTCTGCCACAAATACCATCAAGAGAACCTGCTGTACTAATGGGGATTTTAGGTACGTCAATATTGTTTTTATTGTATCTATTAATCAAATCAAATCTATGAAGTGCCTGTAAATGAGATCATAGATTAGATATTATGTTGTTTAATTGTCAATATTGATTTGCTATTAATAAATTACAACAAGTTACAAAATTAATGATACCAGATAAAGCCAGGCTCTAACGCCCAAGGCAAAGCATCACATTACTTAAACTGGCACATTTATACAATTAATTTTGAGCTTTAAAACAATAACAGTTATATTCAAAATTCAGGTATCTACAAATTGGCATTAAGCCACAAGAAATTGGGAATTACAAAAGAAGTAATGGCAACGAAGGTTCTACCGTTTTTGATTCCTCTGTGTGTTGAGAATGGTCTGACTTTGAACCAATTTAATGCACTCATCACATTAGTTAAACAAATGATCTCCAAAGTGGAGACTGAACACAGAGCAAAGTTGGAGCAACTCAATTCAATACAAAATGAATCAAAGTAAGTATTAACATAATATTTTTTTATCAACATTTAATATTGGCTTGGCTGGGACTATATGAAAGCAATGAAAATGAAAAAAGATTTATTTCAAAAATGATGTCTCAGAGTTACAGTTGTGGCTGAGACCATCCTAGTGGGTATTTAGAAATACCTATTACAAGAGGTCCCGCTTACTCTAAGCATAAAATGACACGAATTTTTATATTATACATCCAATTTTCATGATATGGAAAATTAGATATAATGAAAATGTTTAGTTAATAATCTTAAGCAGAAAACAGTGTAAGAATTATTTCCAATGCAAGCAATGCTCTCTTGTAAGTGATGGGAAAAAAAGTATTATATGAATTGAGAATTTGCTCCCTCTTTTTTTATTAAAGTCTGTAAAAAATTGTCAATCAACTATATGCCTTATTGATGTGGAATGTTTTTATGAGTCTTCAATATTTTTTTACTAACATGCATAAAAAATAAATTCTGCTAATAGTAACAGAATTCTAGTGTGTCGATTCAATAGCAGTTTCTCAATAAAGTTCTTGTTACTATATCATAACAAAATAATCTGTCACCAATCAGACGCGACTGTACTGATAATATTTAACGCCAGGTAGATTATGCAGGGGACAAAAGACCCTAAACGTCTGTTTAAATTCGCAGAGTGATGGATCAAGCTCTATCGACGACAACAGACAACCTCGTCTCTGCACCCGCTCCTCAGACAGATATAGACAAAATGTTTTCTGGGTTGGGTCTCGATCCATTTTCCTTCAATAATACGAAGACCCCGGAAAAAACTGATCCCACCTTCCCTGTCATTGGCGATAGTAGTGGATTGTTAAGCATCGAAGATAAGCAAAGGTAAAGTCAAATATTTTTCAATGCAGTTGCTCATAAAGCGCTATTTTTTAATCCATTATAAACACCGAAAGTGAGTCTTTAAACACGTGTTAAATAAAAATGTACTGAAATCCTTTACTGCACACATGCTTAAAAGTATTTTTTTAATTTTTTTTTGGCAGAGCACCAAAAAAATTTAAAAAAAATTGATGAAAATATGTCAAAATTTAGAGGCAAAAGTATTTCAAGGAGCCTAGAACGAATATTTTCAAATAAAAATGTATGGCAAATATCATGTTTAATTTTAACAAATAATTTTTACCTTTAATACATAATTAGTTTTATTAACCTATATTTTTGTTTTATTTCCTTGCAAAAAGCATTGAAAAATGTTGTAAGAAACATGAGCGTAAAAGGTTTTTCGAATTCGTGCCACTGAAAACCCCTCGATACGCTCGTGTTTTCAATTTGGCCCTTATTCGTAAAACCTTACTTTCCGCACTCGTATCTTAAATAACTATTATAATGTTTTATTAGAGTAAATTTAATTACATCAATAATTACTTGCAAATGCTTTAACAGGATAGCCAGGCAACAGGAGACAGTGAAGAAATTCTCACAGCAAACAATGCCAACAGCGATACCGGCACCACCTAAGCAAATACCCAAACCTGTAGATCTCACGAGTTCCCTTCTGCAGTCAAATCTCAATCAATTCACCACACAGAAAGCGTACACATCATCAACGCAAAGTATGCCAATGCAAGCACCAAACTATAATTTGACCGGTTTATCTAACCAGCCGAGTTTCAATACCTCTATCGGTCCAAACAGATCATACACTCATAATTCCAGTACGCCCACTGGTTTTGATAGTCAACCAGCGTTGCCAGCCAATACGGGCTGGTCGGGTAATGCGTCTGGCAACTTTAACAACAAATGGGCCAACAATCAAAATAATCAGACGAATATGAAACAAGACTGGACGGCTTTTGAATCTCTACTACCCAGTCAGACGCAAACAAACAACAATCAGGGATCTAATAATAATATCAAAAAGTTAACCAGTAGTGAAATGATGGACTTGCTCGGTTGATAAAGGTTCTTAATTGACACATAATAAGAAAAGCTGTGAATGATTTGTGATGTCAGATGAATTTATGAAATTACTGCATCACACATTTCAAAGCACAATGCTATTTGATAACATAAAGGCTATAATTAGTCAATTGGTATGACTATATTTTATGCATGAATGTGTGATTTTAAGCGTTATGGATTTAAATATTTAACACACAGCAAATTTGTTAACTGGAGTTATTAATTCCACGAACAAAACATTGACATATGTATGGATTTATCAATTGTAAATACACCACTATACATTTAAATTAACATGTTTTTGTTCATTTTCAGTAATCTAAAACTGTAACGAATCTCCATTTCTCTACAAAGTAAATCATAAATTTTCTGTAAATGGTATATTTACATGTTCAACATATTAACTAAAAAAAAAATAATCTAACGGACATTACAGAAAGTTATACATATTTTGTTAAAATCGAATGTGGCGTATGAATGGATACATTAATTAAAGAATATTAAATGACAATGTTTTGGATGAAAACGAAAATTTAAGTTACAGAACGGGTGCTTTATGCCACTGCAAGTGTCAACTATCCCATAGTAGTTATGGGATAATCTCAAGAATTTCATGACCCCACTCGATAAAGTGGGTTAAATTTGCTGCTGGTGTAAGAAATCATAATTTATATCTGAGCAAATCTAGAATGGTTATCTGAATAAGTATAAATATGCCGAATCTACAGTTTTTGTCTTCATCGAAGTTCAATCGGAAGTATTGGTATTATTTCTTTCTAAACAAGTGATGGTGCATTATAATAAGGTGCAATTTGTGAAACAACTATTTACTTTTAACTATACATAGCTTTTTCATCATTCCTATTATTTATTAATCATAGAAAAAATATTTAAGGATGAATAATCAAGGATAACTATGTATACTAATAAAGAAGCTGTCCAGAACGAAAAGTGTATCATAGTGCACCAGTATTGCCAGACGGAATTAAAAAAAAAGCAATTGTAAAATGTGCAATAAATCAGTAGATTGGGTAAAAAAAAAAAATTTTGGTACTTAGTTCTATGACTATCATGATCTATGTGGTTTGGATAAACGGCAGCCATCTTGTCGAAAATACAAGATAAAAGTCTAGTAGCATACATAGAAGTCTTTGAAGGATAACGATGAGGGTACACGAGCATTTCAATTTATTATTAGCAAAAATATTTTATTCAGACAAATATACAAACATTGTATAGAATTTTAAGTCTTAAAAATATTTTTATCTCCTGTGATAGATATATGATAGATGCATCTTATCTACATACAAACATGTTTTTTATAAAATATACTAATTGATTAAATCCTTATAATAATTTCCTAACTCAATTTATTTTTAATGTATTTATATCGATAATTAAATATAGAGCACATTCCTGTATAAGCTTATATTATGTACATATTAAAAATATTAAAGGATTGTTCAGTCGACAACACTTCACGTTACACAAAACCCAATTCTAATATATTTTAAACCTTAATCTGTTGAAACAAAGCTTAAAATCCACTGCAGTTTATTGTTTCGTGATAAAATGTCGTGCTATGTGTGTATGTTCGTTTTTAAATTTAGTTATAAAATGTATTAGGAAAATTGATCTCTATAATTATATTTAATTAATAGATAAGACATGGTGTTTCATTTTTTCTATGTAATTGTATAAAATTATTATAATTGTATAAAATTATTAATAACAATTACGTTAACAAGGCTGTTGCCCCATTAGTTATCTAATTAAAAAAGGTATAGGAAAGCTCGTGCAAACTAAATTAAACCTTATTGTCAAGTTGGCAAGATATCTCTTTTAATGAAAGATGGTTTAGTCACATTTTTTTAAAATATAATCCTATGTGTTAATTAAACTAAATATATTAATGTGAGCACTGAAAACATAGATACGAACAATAAATTAGAAGAATATCTTTCGTCCATTACGTCAACGAAAAGCCAAAGAGAAACCGTACAGTAATTTCCGAGATAACCGATAACCTAAGCATATTAGAAAAACAAATATCAGCCAATAAAGTTCTTAATTCAAATAATTTATTTATAAATTTTATTTTATCAACTTTTTTTTACTATTACGTTCATGTCCAAGAATATGCAAACGGTTTTGAACTTCCATTTATTGATAACTAGCTTTCCGCCAGCGGCTTCGCTCGCGTGGTCTTCTATTATACATAAAAACTTTCCTTTTGAATCACCCTATCTATGAAAAAAAACCGCATCAAAATCCGTTGCGTTGTTTTAAAGATTTAGGCATACATAGAGATAGATATACGGACATAGAAAGCGACTTTGTTTATACTATGTAGTGGTTACCATTTAATGGCATAGAATTTGACATCATGGGGCGGCTCTATCATTCTATCACGCTACTAAAGAGTTTCTATAATAATTAAAAAAAATATATATAAAACTATCTCCGTCTTCTAAATGACATAGCGAGGAACACCAAAGCGGTTGCAATCTGCAGTGCACTGGCAGCTAAGAAACAGGTTTTATATTCATAATTCCTGGCCAGTGACCAGGCGAGTATGAACACAGCTGCGATGAGGTTTGTAGCTGTGATAGTCGCTGTCGTGTCAAACTCGTTCAGTGTACTGTTGTACAGCGGTTGCTGTAATATGCTGGATGCAGCGGTAGAGAAGCTCGCGCACATGCACCATAATACTAAAAAGCTTTTGCTCCCAGATATGGTAATGCCTGAAATAAGTTTCAAATTGTGTTAAGAATTCTGCTTTTTTTTGTTTAAACAACAAAACTACGTGTTAGATAACTACGTATAGACTATTGATATGTTAGCATACAGTTACTAGTCGCGAAACTAGGTAGGCATATCCAATTTGCCTAGAAATCAATATTGCATCGCACCATTAGAAAGTTGTATCAATTAGTATCTGAGACAACGAAGGTACCTCAATAGCCAGATCCGAGACAATATAGAAAAGTTCATTTTCTACATTGACCCGACCGGGAATCCAACCAGAGACCTCAGAGATGGCAACACCTTGAAACCGGACCACTCGGCTACGGCCTCAAAAAGGTAACTCACCATAAAATCCGATGGCGCCTACAAGACAGAAGGCTGCGCAAAGTCTTGATTTTTCGTTGATGGAGTTGGGCATCACAATACATAGCATTATGAAGCACAAGGCGGATGCATGGGCCACCGTTACTAGACTCGACACCTGATAAAGTAAACATAATATTAGTAAAATGTAGTAGACTGTGTTATAGTGATTAATGAAGAAAATTTTATTACAAAATTATACATTATTATGAAAAAGTTTTGATCATTAATTTCTCAATGACAATATGTCGTAGTGTCGCAACTTTGAAACTTATTTGTAATTTACTTTGGAGTGTTTGTTGTAAAGAATATCCACCATTTCCTGGTGATAAAATACTTCCACCCGCTTAAGAATTAGAGGGCTTTGAATGGTTAATAAAATGTGTAAAGATAGCTTATTATCGATTCGACTCACAAGTGACTCAGAATGACCGCCGCGGTTCCTGAGATTTCCCAGAACTAAGATAAATAAATTATCTAAGTATTGTCAAGAGTTATTATCAGTGAATACTTACAGTCCAAATATCAAGCGATTGTTTCATTATCAACTGGTTAACTTCCCATACCATAGCCGGGAAAAACACTCTAAGAACTGTGATCGAGAAAGTGGTACACGTATGTAATAGCGCATACATATAGAAGTTTATATCTAACAGCATATTCGTGATGGTTATCCAATTCTTTTTCATTGTTGCCGTTCTTCTGACCGTGCCTGGAGAAGCTTCAGGGAATACGGCAATATTTTGGGGAGCATCAACTGTTGTTTCCCTGTACAAAGGTTGGGGGTTTTGACCATCGATGTTTTCTAATTCTTGATAAGCATTAGTCCTATTGTAATTGAAGATATCTTGCGATCCGAAGTTCGATGAGAATCGATTGGGATTATCGAACATAGAGCTAAAATCTGACGAGAACCTAGCCTCGTTGTTTCCAGCGGATCGCTTCTCTCTGTATTCGATTGCAGGATCCATAATTTCCTTTGCGTCCCTTTTAGATTTGAAAACTACCACGTCGTGAACGTCCTCGTCCTGCGTTGCGATTTGTTCGTCATTCCTCGTGGAGCTCTGCGGTTGTGGTTGGTTAGATGTTGTGTTCTGATTAGAGAATATTACTTCATCGTCATCTTCGTTCGCGTCACGTAGCATATTGTAGGTGGTTCTTATGACTTTTTCTATGTAAATTGGTCGAGTATATGCCGCTAGGAACACGCAGTTTTGCATTATGATAGCTGCATATATCATGACCACAGAGCCTGAGTCGTACTGAGTGCAGAGGTAGCCGACTAGAATCGGTATTAAGGTATTCCCAACCGAGGGAGCCATACGGACTAATCGCTGTGCCGTTGTAAGCTTTTCTCTGAAATAATGCGTTACTATTACTTCTGTTTGTTGGCCAGTAAGAGCACAACCAATACCTGCAATAAAAATATGTCAATAAGTAGTATATGAAAATACACATAATATAAACCTACTTTGTTTTGATCTGAAATTGCATAATTATGCAGCTGAAGCCTGTGTTATTAAAATCTGAAATATCGAACCTACATTACACAGGGCCGAAACAACATAGAAGAGGTTATTTTCTGCATTGATCCGCCCGGTAATCGAAGTCGGCACTTCGGAGACGTGTTTCTTTCTAAGAGTGGGTTGACATTTGGCCACTATCTTACCTGATAGTAAGATTTGGATTAAGATGGTATATGCCTACCCAGGAAGTGCTTATTCATTCAGGAGCAAAATGCTTGTTAATTATGAATGTTGATGCAACAACATTCATAATTAACAAGCACCGATACGCTTTAGCTCGGAAATATATCGATGGAATGTCTTTTGAAAAAGGGTCGCTTTTTATATATCTATTTGTAATGAGTAAATTCCATGTTTATTAAAAATATCTTTTTCCTTAAAATGAAACATTTGTGCAATAAAAAAGGAACAAAGCCTTTTAGCAAACTATACGTCGACTAAGTTATGAAATAATCTTATTAGCAATAAATTACGTGAAGCATAAACTTACCTGTAAATATTCCCGCGAAAATGCTGATTATGTGGTCATTGTTGTCGATATCTGTAGCGTAGCTGGACATCAAAACTCCCGCCACTGTCAAGCAAAGACCGGATAGAGCCATGAATCGCGGCATGTTGAAGATTTTCACTACTGCTCTGCACCAGGACTCCAAAAGCAGTCTCATCACCACCATTATGACTGGTACCAATGCTATATCCGCATCCCATATTTTTAATTTCTCTCCTTCCTCGTGATCTTCCTGTTTAATCGATTTCAGAATAACGAAGCCATACAGTGACAGAAGACTGGGAACGGTAATATGGTATAATGCAGCAGAAAAAACAATGAGCCATCCATAGCCACCGTCAGGAGGAGATGGCCCAATTTCTGGTTGTGATGCTATCACACTATCCAAATGTAGATCCTCCACCCTTCTTTCTTGCCTTCTTGGATGTATTTCGACTTCATGTCCTCGGTTTTCCATGATTTTTAAGCGTGAAATAATAAAATCATATCAAAACAGTATTCTAGGTACAGAGTTATAACAAAATGGGTGTGTTATCTTATCATTATCATTATGCGTAATCTCTTGTTCCATATTTTAAAAACTCCGCCAATCAGTCAGTGTTGGTACTTAAAAATAAACAGTTTTTGTATTTTAATATTTACTTCTGATTTTGTTTTAACATTAAAATATAACATAATCAAAAGTTATTTTGTTACAGAAAAAATACCAAGATATTTCTTTTGGATAGAATCGAATTTATTGTAAAATGTTTTAAGTTATTTAGGACTAATAATATAATGTTTCTGAACGTCTGGCTGACGGTATTATGTGGCAAGATTAAGTGAGTATCGTGAATTATGAAAGCTCCGTTACGAAAAATGAAATAGAAATAGTATATGGACTAATTAGAAGAGTATTTCCATCATTCCGTGTTATAAAGAATGGTGTCTCAAATTTGGTTTCATTAAACAACATGAATTATTCCGATCGACATTCGTAAACGACGCTCTTATTAGAATTAATTCTATTTTTATCAAAAATGCATAGGTAGTTTATGTTTGTATTTAACTTTAGTGTGAAATATTATTATTGGAACATGGACAAAGAAAAAAAAGCTCGCAATTCTAGTGTGGTACCATAATTTCGTACAAATGTTCATGGTTCCGTGAAACCAGAGTATTTTAATTGCCCTAAATTGGTGTTTGATTACGGGAAGCGTGTTTTGTTGCAGACTTTACAGGGAATTTACTCATGGACGAGACTGAGGAAGCGTTGAGGCTTGAATCACTATGGAGACAGAGTCTGTAAGATCTGAGCTAAGTAGCCGATCGCGGCGGAGTTCAAGACATAGATCTCACACGCATCGAAGTACCAGGTATTTATAATTTCAAAAACAAAAATTCTTCTTAACACATACGCTAAACAACACTTCATTTATACAAGATAATAAAAAGTTATGAACATTTGATGATTTTGGTAATTGTATGTTATACAACTAGAAAGGAATCAATGTTGACAATAAAATCTATGTTATACTTTCCAGGAGTTCAAAGTCACAAAGAAAAGACAGTGACAATACAATGGCACCATTCCAAACCAGTGTTAATATAAATCCTGAAATGGGAAGAGACGGCCAAGAGGTCATTGAAGTACAAATCTTACCCCAAGATGAAAACTGGGGTGAAAATACCACTGCAGTGACAGGAAACACTTCTGAAGGATCCCAATCAATGGAAGATGTTAGCAATTGGCCTATGGAGTCTGATAGTGGCATAGGATTTGTGTGCTCTAGATACTTTGGGACCACAATTGCACTTGGTTTATCATTCGTCTCTTTTGTTAGTCCGTTGGCAATGGTAGTATTGCCAAAAATAGGATTCTTTCCTGGTCTAACAGATAATATAGCTATTCAGCCAAGTCAGAGAATGCAACTGCTCTCTTGTGCTGCAGAATGTAAAGGCATACTGCTCTCTTTAGCATTTAAGTTAGTTTTACTAGCAATAGGTGTATGGGCTGTATTTTTAAGACCGAGGAATGCAATATTACCAAGGATATTTGTATTTAGAGCCATGACTTTAGTAATTCTTGCTGTATGCATATTTTCTTATTGGTTATTTTATATAGTACAAATTTCTGAAGCTACAAAAGCTTTGGCTGTAGGTGAAGATGCAATAGATTATAATTCATTAGTTTCATATGTATCTAGTTTTGCTGATACATTGTTGTTTATTCATTATATAGCTGTAATTTTGATGGAGATTAGACATATAGAACCTGTTTATTACATAAAGATAGTTAGGAGCCCAGATGGTGAGAGTCGGTCGTATTCAATAGGGCAGTTGAGTATTCAAAGAGCAGCTGTGTGGGTTTTGCAGAAATATTATACAGAATTTCCAATATATAATCCATATTTGGAGAAAATATCCATTTCGAAATCCCAGAGGAAAGGACAGAGTAGCATTAAGTTTTACGATGTGGATGGCTCTAATGCTAACGCACAATCAGGTCAAGCGAGGTAGGTTGAACAATTTTTTTTATTTACTTTGATATGATTTGATTCTTTTCTAATGTATTAAGTTTGTATGATAAGTTCTGAATGTATATTTATATGATCTGCATATATAATTATTACAATAGAAGTTTGGTATGACTATGTTGTGATGCATAGATTATAATTCATTATCTTCAACAAGATTAAACAAGGATATGTAATAAGGTCTGTGTGCTGTATATAATTTGGAACACCTGATTTGCTTATTAAGCTATATATTATTCTTAGAATTTCAATGTTAATTATATACTGGTTATTCCCGCGATTTCGTCTATGTTATCCCCATATCATTTAGCTACCCATAGGTGAAACATTTTTTAAAATCAGTCCAGTGGTTTTGGAGCCTATTTGATGCAAATAAACAAACTAACAAGTCTTTCCTGTTTACTCTATTAATTTGAGTATGCCCTTGAATAAACTTCAGGCTAATTTTTATTTATTTATTACTACATGATATTTGCATTATTATTATTATTATTATTTGCATTCCTTTTTCTAATTGGTTGTACCTGATGACTTGCTGAAGATTGAATGTTAAGTTAAATCAAATCTAGCTCCAGTTTTAATTTAACAGTAAGAGCGTTAAATTCAATTAGTGGCAGTTGCATGAAGTACAATCAGTTACGCCGTAGACTGGTTACCATAAAATGAAATGTATTTTTAACTTTATTTTAATACAGTTACAGTTTAAAATGAAGTGTAGACTGTTTGGAAGAGTGATAACCGGTGTTTTCCACCAGATCAACGACCGGGTCATGTACTGGTAGCGCGGGCCGCCGCCGTGACTCCGGCTCCACCCACAACGAGCGTTACTACGAGGAGGCGGAGCGTGAACGTCGCGTGCGCAAGCGCAGGGCGCGACTACTCACAGCTACTGAAGACGCCTTCGCTCATGTGCGCAGAGTGAGGGTCTCCAGTGCCAATGGTATGTTTGTGACTTATGAGTTGTGGGTATAATGCATTAACGGTCAATTGCGCAAACGTCTATTAAGGTTTTATGACGACTTTAAGCTCTAATTAATATTCTTAATTTGTAACGGTAATTGATAGTAAATTAAATTAAATTTTTGTATATGGAAGTATAATAATTTATCAAAATATACTTAGCCCTGGGGTTCTGCGAACCACCTTTCGGGAATCGCTTGTCTATTGTGTGATACTTTGTCGCAGTACCATCACGCTCAACAGGCATTATTAAAATAAGAAAATGTACACAAATAGATATGATGACTAATTTTAAGTACAATAGGGGTGTAGATAACTTTTAATATTTTTATTTAAAAAGTATCCTTCATATAATAAGTAAGAATCTAAATAAATTTTTCAAAGTAGTATTTTATTAGTTTTTATTTCGTGCTTTTTAGTTAATACTAAAACTACTTTTCTGACTACTACTTTTCTCCTATGCATTACAAATACTATGCTAAAAACCGCATCAAAATCGGTTCAGCCAAACGCGAGATAATCGCAAACATACATACATACGTACAGGTCAAACTGAGAACCACCTACCACTAAATCGCCAACTTTCTGTCGTGGCATCGCTATTTATTTAATTCTTTAAGTTCTGATATGAATATAAAATATAATAAATAAATAGTATAAAATATTTGTTTTCCATAATTCATTTAAACAATATTATAAAAGTGTAATTTTATTTTCGTTTACTGTCTGCACCCGTATATGTGCATTTTGTTAGTGTACGTAGGTATTAATGCCTGTGTAACGTAGTGGTACTGCGGCCGAGTATGGCTCTGTAGTGGTGTGATATAACCCCGTGTGCGGTCAGGCGGCGCGCTGGGCCCGCGCGAGGCCGCGCAGGCGGTGTTCCCGTCGCTGGCGCGCGCGCTGCAGAAGTACCTGCGCGCCACCAGGCAGCAACCGCGACACTCTGCCGACTCGGTCAGTATACGACAGGGCATCTCCCCCTACCCCTCCCCCACCCTCAAGATGAAAAAATGGTTTTGACGCGACTGTTATGTCACTTTCTCAAAAAAAAAATGTTACTTAGACTCATTTTTAAGTCAGTTTAATAAAAAGTAAACTTTGTCACTTGCAGAATGGATTCACAAAATTATTATACTCTCTATTAATCTAATCTAACACAAATGTCAATAAATCAAATCTATGTATATTACATACGAAATTTAAATAATTATACATTAATTTGCTTAGTATTATAGTAGTAGTATTATAATTCGTCCATGGGACAGGCGAAGGAACTAAGCCATACAGCCAAATCTTGGGTTAATTTGCTTAGTATCAATGCAACAAATTGTTTTTTTTTTAAATATGGACTTATTCCGTTATACACGGAAATTTTGCCAACGAGGGGCAACGGGCTCTGTTAGGTCCTGGGTAGCTCAGTGGTTAGAACAGTCGCCCTGATTGCGAAAGGTCGTGGGCTCGATTGCCATCTCAGGGTGCCAGGGACCAAGTGGATTTTTTAAGCATTTTGTATTAAGAATAATACTCCATAATGTATGTGATGTTCTTTAATATTTAATTTAGTGTAATTTAATGTTCACTAAATGTTTATTTTGAATAATACTCTTTATTCTACTTTTTATAACATTGACGCCTTTTCAATTGACTTCAAATAAAGAAGGAATATTGTAATAAATTAAACAGATTTCTCTCACAATCAACTGTAATTTTTTATTAAATTTTTACTTTTGACTATTGCAATTTCACAGGTATTAGCCCATTTAGCTCGCTGCTTATCTCAAGACGCCTCCCCTCGCGCATTCCTCGAACCGTTCTTCGTCGAAGGTCCAGTTCTGGCAGCAGACCAAGAGACGAGGCCGGTACAACGCTGGTCGCTCATATCAGACGAGTTGCTCGCGAGACCTTTAGCCCACGGCATAGAGTTCCAACTCAGACAAGGCGATATATCACTGTTGTGCTCCATAAAACAAATACCAAAAGTCAGTCTCGCTGAAGAAGTGGTCGATCCGAAGAGTAACAGGTTCATATTGAGGCTCAATTCGGAGACGTCAGTTTGACAGGACGATTTCCTCGAGAGAGATGATCACAGATTGGTATGACATTTGGATTTTATCTAGTTATGTTGCACGTTGACTTGATTCAACAAAAAGGCGACAGACTAGACATTATTTTATTTATCGTAACTATGCAGTTTTTTGTCTAGGTGTATTTAAGTGTGTTTTATCTTATTTAGCTAATAGTAATGTAAGACATCTATTTAGCCTAGAAAAAGTTCAAAAAAAAAATGGAATCTGGTTGGAAATCTCTGTTAAAAAGTTAAAATTAAATATTTAAAAAGTGTATTTCATAATTATGAATTGCGTGTGCAATTTAAGATTAAGAATCTCCAATTAGTTTAAGGATTAAGAAATGCTAAGCCATTTTTGATATAAAAAAAAGACTTGAAATGCATTTTAATGTTTTGATACATGTTTTATACAAACATTTTTTTTGTTTTAACTTTGTACATTTTGTGTCATATTTATATATTATTTAAATACTTAAGTATAGTAATTAATGTAGGATTTTTTTTAGATATTCAAGCACAAATAGTTTAATTTCAATATATATATATCAATAGTGATCTAACGAATAATTATTAAAGATATATTATTATATAAATAATTATCTGTATTTTATAAAGTTTGCATTCACAATGCTTTTTTTCAATTAGAAATTATCTTAAAAATACGTAAAAATTCAGCTCGGGATTGGCAACCTACAGTTTCAAGTCGCAGCTTTTATTTTCATGTTAAATTGCGACGAAAAATATTTAACAGTTGAACACCTTCAGATCGTGTAATCATTATGAAGGGGTTGAACTAATATGAAGCGGTTGAACTGACTAATATTTCTAATTGAAATTAAAATAATATGAAAACGAAATGTTGCAGTAGCTCTATAAAAACTGTGAAATTTTGCAAAGTCTAGCTTTTTGTGCTTCTGTTTCTTAAAGTTGTCGATCCCTGCCTTAGCTCGACTAGCAATAGATTATATGGTTGAGCCACTGCTCGAGCAGCTAACGCAGTTAAAGTATTTTTTTATGACAAATGTTTCATACATTTCATAAATATTTACATTTCAGTATTTTTAATCTAGATACAGTTTATTTTATTATTATATTACATATTAATATCATATCATAGAGTAGTAATATTTATAAAAAGCTTGAAATCACATTTTTTTTTTATAATTAAACATTAGCAAATGATTTTTCAGCAGCGAAATCATATCGATTTCTCGTTCATATAATGTGCCTGAAATACTTGTGTTTTAAAGGAATTGTCGACTGTATATTACATGAAAGTACTGATATTATTAATGACTACTTATAAATTAAGACTGCTTTTACAATGTTTGTATGAATTTTTATATGCAACTTAAAATATGGTTGTGCGTAGACATTTAGGCGTTTAATTGATTGATTCACCAAAGATCGCTTGAAAGCTTATTGTAACATATCAACAATAGCAAGTTTAAATATATGTATGTTGGATAATGAGAATATAGAGTTGCTAAAATCATATGTAAATGATTTTAGCAACTCAAATAACTTAGCAAATAATGTATGTAAAACTATGACATATTAAAGTATAGGTTACAATTTGATATATTTTACATGAATAAATTAAAAAATAAGTACCCACAATAAATATAAAAACAGTATGCCTGGACCAGTGAGTATAGGAAACTTCGTTATAAATAATATTATCACATATTATTAGAAGTTTGATTTCTCACTAAATTTGACATATTTGGTATTAAATTAATTTGTATGCCTTACCACGTTTCATTAGTCGCGAGTTGTACTAAGATTGTAAACTTTAACATAATGTATTAAAGTCTACATTTCAAAACTTATTCCATACTCTTGGCACGCATACTCCATCGGCTTAAGCTAGTTTTCTTTAGCGCAGAATAATTTAATAATGATACTACTACCTACGTATATTGAAAACTGAAACCAATTAGTTATAGAGTGCTCGAGTTATAATAAGCATTTATTCAACCAGCCCTGCGATTTTGTTAAAATCCAGACCCGAATTCGAATTCACGTCATTTAGTGTAGAAATTCTATTGGTTCCATTTTTTGTATAAAAATTCAAAACAAAATTGATTGAATATACGTGTCTCAGATAATCTAATTCTATATAATTTCGAAACTCACTTCACTTATGCCACGAAACATTATTACCAATTCAAGGTTGAGCGGATGCCGCTTTTGAATTGAATTTGGACACCTGAGTGAATTCGAATTCGGGTTTGGATTTTTTCAGAATCGCAGGGCTGGATTCGAATTTAGCAATTCGATATTCATGTTTCGAACGTCAAGGTTTTTTTAGAGTAATGTCTGGTAATGGTATGAATAGATGATCGAAAGTTAATGCTCAATTTGCCTTTTGTAAATGCTTGTGCCTGCGATATTATATACGTGTAGATATAAATTTTTCATTAATCGTGTAATTTAAGATAGTATAATTCATGAACAATCAAGAATTTATGTAGTCGACAGCCCATCAGATTGAAGATCTAAAATAGATTTGAAGTTCTAATTGCTGGTTAAGTTCAAAATCATATTATTGTAATTTTTTTAAAATAAGTATTTATTTGTCATTTATTATTTAATCTATAGTCAAGCAATATTGACTCTATGGTTTAATTTTTTTTTGTACGAATTTAACCCGAATACGGGTATGGGTTAATTGGTTATGCTTTAGTAGGACACGACAAACTGAGATATTGTATTTACTCATATTTAAAATATTTCGACAGAATAGAGCATGGTAAATAATGTATAGCGCAATATTTAATTATTCCCATAGTAGGTATGTACTCGTAACTCAAAGTGATTTCCGCACAAATGTTTGTCTACATAGAATTTATAAACACAAATTAAATGTAATACATTGTACACATGTAATTTTTTAATATATCTTGAAGTGGATAAAATGTTTAAGGCTTTTTATTTTACACCATTTAAATAAGGTAACATTCTAAAACTATAATACTTAACGATTCTAAAGGTAATTTATATCTATTCATTGCATAGGATTCTTAACTTAATCACAGTATCTTAGAGTCGAAAATTAATAGCGTCCCGACGACGTTTCTTTTATGAGCACAACTTGTTTCTAACTTCACTAACCTTATAATTTTAATAAATTCATTTGGCTATGGTTAATTTAAGCAACCACGATAAGATACCAAATACAAGAAACTTAAATTACTACAGGAAAAAAAATATAATCAGTACACAAATTGTAATATTAAATTATAGTATTCTCTCATAATATCTGTTATTTCGCCTGTTCTAGATACAGACTATACATGTCGTTTTATAGCCTTTCAGTTCAGTATGCTTTCAGATGGGAATTAGACATTCTCAAAGGTTATAAAAATATTAATAAATATGGAATTATAATTCTTTGTATTCTATTAACATGTGCACTCATTAAAAACTTCCTGTATGACTTTGGTTTTTAAATCTTAAAAAGAATGTCTGATTTAAATTATTAAAATTCAGTCCTATGAGAATGTACAGGCAAAACAGTATAAGTAGCTGTGGGCGTATGCAGATTAGCTATACAATTGCCTCTGGACTGGTACCTGGGTATGAATACGAAGAACCATAATGCTATACCGGCAAGTATGATGCAGAACGCGACGATAGCCAGTGCCAGGCCGACATGGTGGTCGCTTATCTGCGAGCACGAGAAGTATTTGGCGTCCAGTTCAAATACCTTGCAGTTGTAAAACGGTTTTGGCGAGCCGCACCTAAACGATGATGGGATATAAATTAGGTATAATCCAGCATATTATTCTGGGTGCCGGTACCTAACTAGAGGTAATTTAATTTTGGAAATGGGTTTTAATATATAAGCTTTTTATTTTAAACTCGACGCACTGTTTACAAAGTACATTTAGCTGTTCATAGGTTATAATATGTCGATTTTAAGTTACTTTTTATATTATATTTAAAATCAAGTGGAGAAAAAGAAGCCTTAAAAAATGACTTCAATTTAATAGGCGATATAGATTGAACGATTATTAAATAAACTTCTAAATAATCTCGTTATAAAAATTGTCTAATATGTATTCATGTTTGTACGATTGATTCAGATAAGTGTGTTACAAAGAGAATGGCGTGGTGGTATCTTTAAAATGTCCAAAGAAATTACCTTATATGTTCATAATATTCCGGTGGTATTTGTAGAGATTTCAGCCACAGCAGATTGCAGTCACAGGTCCAAGGGTTCCCTTGTAGATCGAGAATGCTCAACTGCCCTATAGGCTCCGCCAATTCTTGGTCCAAAGCCGTCAATCTAGATCCTCGTAAAGATAACTTTTCTAGAACGAAGTAATCAGCATCATCCAATATGTCTTGGCCAAACGCCAAAGGGCTAAATATAGTCAGATTCTTATTTCTTTCCAATTCCAACTCTACTAAGCCATGTAAAGCTGAAAACACATATTCGGGAACTTCTCTTATCAACAAATTGTTCAATTTCAACACTTTTAATCCAGGCAAATCAATGAAATCTTCATTTGAAATGTCTGAAATTGGATTGTCTGACAAATCCAAATATTCTAAAGTAAAAGGCAGCTCGAAAATTTCTTTTAAATTATTATTAGATATGACAAGCTTACGAATATCGTAGGCGTCTGAAAAAAAGTTGTCCGGCACTTCGTTCAAGTTTACGCCTCTAATGCTCAATCTTTTAATTTTGTGAGTTAAACCAAAACCGCTCCGATCGAACAAATTAGCTTCGAGCAAACCCTTACCCAAATTATTATTATCCAAAACGAGTTCATTCAAATTTCTCAAGTGGTGGAAACCTAACCTTTCGAAAGTCACAAGTCTATTGTTAGCCAGGTTCAAATGTTCCACATTTCTCAAGTCACTGAATGCTTCTTTATCGATGTATTCTAGTTGATTGTAGCTTAAGTCCAGCCATTTCAGCGCTGGTAAAAGCAATACCTTCGCAGGGATCTCTTTCAGGATGTTGTTCTTCAACGTTAACTCTAACAAAGTCGTCGATTGCAAAAGTCTAGATGTGTGTAAATGTGTTATATTGCTCGAAGACAGATCCAATGAAAATGTAACGTCCGGCAGACTAAAATTAGTGGCCAAGACATTTTGTCCTTCGAAATGATACGAACAGTCAACACTGTCCCCTAAATAATCTTGGTTATCGTCAATGTTATCACGACACGCACAAAAATTAACACTGGCACATACATCCACGCTCCTAACACTATAACTATGGATTATTAAACTAAAGACCATGGAATACACCAACATTTTGTTCAAATGTGTCTGAACTGTAAGGTAATTCTTACGGATATGCAGTGAAATTGTTATCAGACTGATAAAGGTGTTATCGTCGATATTCCGTGCCATTGTTGTTGATTTCACATTGTTTACTACGTGCTTATGTGCCAGATAAAGTATAATTGCGGTTAATGACATAAATCTTCAGGTGTGAAATATTACAGTTTATATAAATTAAAAAAAAAAATCTAATTCATTTGAACAAAAAGCAGAGCACATTAAAACCTCTTTCTTTTAAAGCAAACACTATTATTGACACAATGAATTCGATTTATGATGTGCTACGCCGATAATATGGGGCTTTTGTTAAATAAAACGGCAATTTTATAATTTTTCATATAAATTTATAGTAATGTAATATTATCGTGAGTTATGTAATATGTTGATAGGCTTTATTATTTTTAAAATTATGACATTTAAACACATTTTTCCATCGGTTTAATACTAGAATCTACTACGTGTTGCCTGAACGATGCTCTTGGCGCTGGGTTCTTCGTGAGCCTGAAATAAATAAAAGGGTGTAGTCAAATCGGTTGCGAACAATTAAATACTAGTGGCCGCCAGCGACTTCGTCAGCGTTTTCCGTTATTTCTTCACTCCTAATAGTTGCAGAGTGATGTTTTACAGCCTAAAGCCTTCCTCGATAAACGTTTGATTACTTTTGAGAATGAGTTAATTATTTTTTAATTAATGCAGCTTTACATTTTAGGTTAGGAAAAAGCGTTATCGCATATAGTACGCACAAACTTGTAATAAAATATTTTTGGCTATACCATTTTTGTATATTAAAAAAATCATTTTGATGTCAAAGATGCACGTCGCTCCGGTCGCCCTGTTACGTATAAAATGGATGCCAAGAACTGGGAATTGACCGCACAACAGTTTGACGCATTTGAAACAATCTGGGTACACAAAAAGTTGGATATTTGGATACCTCACGAGCTTACTGAAAGACACCTAATGAACCGTGTACTCATTTGTGATTCTTTTTAACGGCGTAAAGAAACCGAACCATTTTTGGAGAAGCTGATAACTGGTGATGAAAAGTGGACCACGTACGACAAGAACGTGCGAAAAAGGTCGTGGTCGAAGGTTGGTCAGGCTTCACAGATTCTGGCGAAACTCGGGTTAACTAGCAACAAGGTGATGCTGTGTGTATGGTGGGATTGGAAAGGCATTATTCATTATGAGCTGTTACCGACTGGTAGGACCACCGATTCTGAACTCTACTGCGAGCAATGATGTGATTAAAGCAAGAAGTTGAGAGGAAGCGGCCAAAATTAATCAAAAGAAGGGGTGTGGTTTTTCATCATGATAACGCATCTCTTGCCACTCAGCAAAAATAAGGAGAGTTTGGCCGGGAGGTGTTAATGTATCCGCCGTATAGTCCTGACCTTGCACCTTCAGATTTCCACCTGTTTCGGTATCTTCAGAATTCTTTAGGCAGTGTCAGGTTAATACCACGCGAGGATAAAACTATTTGTCGTGGTTTTTTGATCGGAAGCCCCAAAATTTCTATAGCAATGGGATCAATAGCATGTCCCTACATACAAAATTGCAAAGAGTGATCGAACAAAATAGTACCTACATGCTTTATTAAAAAATGATTTGAATTTTCATATAAAATTCAAAGAAACTCTTTCTAAGTTGTATTCTATATTATTTCTTATTTGTTTGCTTTTATTCTCATTATTTGTAAACGAATTGATTATGAATTATTTATATGAATCAGATAACACTTCTAAAATCAGATTATAAACCTATTTATAGTTAAAATAAACGACAAACATGTTATTTTGGATCACTAAATAAAATAATCTATTAAATATCTTTTAGGAGATATGCGATACGGACTGAGGTGATTCAACTGTAAAATATATTTGCGTACATAATATCAGCCGGCTTGGATAAATATTTGTCTATGTATTAAGGTCGTTTTGCAATTACCATATATCAATTTATGCGTATTCATTGTCAAGACTACAATATAATATACTAGCTTCGGCAGCGGCTTCGGCTGCGTGATCCTGTATACATATAAGGCTTCCTCTTAAGTTATCCTGTATATTGATCAACCGAAATCCGTTGTGTAACATAAAGACCTCAGAGTGTTCAGACAGCGGGAATCGACTTTGTTTTAACATGTCTAAAAGGATTCAGCATAGTCTAACATTGATAAATGTGATAATTCAGATTTGCCAGGAAAAATAAATTCAAAGGTTAAACAATGGAAGCTTAAATTAACATTAGATCATCAAAACAATGATATACTAGGCAAATGTTTGGCCAGTTATGGTCATTCTAATATATATTCTATTCATCTGCTATGTATGTTATATTCTGTAATAAAATAATCCTCGAATTCGACGTCGAGCACAGGGGATGCCACAGCCATGGAGCTTAAATGAAGTAAAATCTTAAAATAGGTTTTATTTAATTAAATTATGCCGCGACAGCGCTGTGTCGAAGTTGAGGTAACAAAATACCACCGCTGTTCTATAAAATATAAAGGATAAAGCCAACTTCAAATCTATTTTATCGAATTTCAATACAAGACGAACACAAAATTTATATGGTTAGGTACCCAAAAGGTAAAATGGTACCCAATCTCTAAAACTCGGCTGATCGTATTTTTGTCTGTCCATCTATTATAGAACGAACGAAATTCGGGTATTCTTAGAAATCCTTGAAACAACAATGAAATTATCACATATGATGAATTTCTGTTGCCTTATCAACATTTAAGGGGACTTCTATATAAACAAACGCATTGTTTTTTGGATTTTTTTCATAAAAAATATTACGATACCTTTCGCATACGAGATCGACTGGCACTTGTCTTTATTTTATATTCGAGATTGACCACTTACCTTTATAACTATGGAAGTCCTGGGGCCAGTGTTCCACAGTTCCCCCTTCTCGTCGACGAAGGCCGCTTCAACGGCGACCGTATACAAGCCCGGCGCATTTACACTGACCAACTGTTGTGCCGAGAAGAAGTCCCGGATGGGCGTCACAGTCTGCACCGCGGTCAGAGCCGGTGGTATATTAGTCAACTCCACTGTCTATGGACGTTTGTCAATGTTAAACTCAAAGACCGAATTTCTTTTTTTGTTTTTTGAATTGGGTGTGTCAGAATTTCTTTTAGCTGTGAAGAAGAACGGGCGCAAGAGACTCGGCAACATTTTGTAGTAAAATTAAAAAACATCCGAATTCTGCTTGGCTTAAATAAAATCTCTTCCAGATCACACATTGCAAAACCAAAAGGTACAGTTAGTTCATTCTGTGAATATAAGATCAAAGAAAGCAATTCACTTTTCTTGTCGGAGTTTGTTTCGTCAGTTCTTAGATAAGACTCCCAAATTTGGAAATGGTGGTAGATTACGGTAGTCAGGGGAAAATAAATTAGTCAAATGTATTTGAAAAAGATGTATATTAATAAATGTAAACGTTGCCATAAAATATATATTTTTGTGTATTGTGAATGTGTCCAATAGTGTTGGTTTTGAAGGTAGCTATACTTTTAATTAAAAAAGCAATCAACACCTGAGTTTTATGTGAACACGAAACCTGTAAAGGGTCCGAAACGTCAGTAAAACTTAATACACATGTTATGAATTCGTTTAAAGTTGTTTCATTAATGGATAGTGCGCGTGAAATATAAAAAATCAATATTACAATCATTTAATCATCAGCCCTTTTACGTCCCCACTGCAGGGGTTCAGGCCTTCCTTATGGGTGTTTAAGGAGGAAGGGCCACGACCCTCCACACTAGACCAATGCGGATTAGAGGCTATTAACTAGGCTGTAGCCGGGACCAACGGCTTAACGTGCCTTCCGGAGCACGGAGTAGCTCTTGATAATAATATTTTGGTCACCCATCCCGCGAAAGTTGCTTAACAATAACGATAGCGGATCGCGGCACCTTATCCATTACCAATACCACAATCATTTAAGGCAAACAAAAAAAAGTAAAGGGTTCTCAGTCCATTCGGCATAAAAATAAATAAGAATGCACGATGCTCTAATCGAGTCCCTCCAAAAAAACCCTTAAATTTTAAACCAATATTTATATATAAATTATTATAATAATACAGAAACCACCTGTCCAATTCTAGTTTGTGCTTCCGAAGGAACCTTAAGTCATCAGTCCCAGTTACATTTGAAATCGTTAACACCCACTGATCCATATTGGGATTGTATGTTGGTGTATGTAAGGATAATTCATATTGTATTTCCTCACACAGCGAAAGCTAGTACCGTAAAATGGGTTATTAGGAGGCTCAAGAAGATGAAGTACTAAATACTCATCAGTAGCATATTGCACTCACCTTTTCATTTGTCCGTGGATGAGGGGTCGCAGTCACTGTTATTTGGACGCCTTTCACTTGACGTCGCGGTTGACGTTTACTGGAAACAATTAAGAGTTGATTGCACCATCTCACCTTCACGATAACATAAATGTTAAAGTGTCGGTGAAGCAAATGATGAGTTGTATCATTCGGCATAGTTAAATGACTCCTCCTCCCCTAATAGGATTGGGAGCCACACCCAGGCATTCGGGTTGCGGGGGGTGGGTGGGGGGAGTCGGGAGTCGGGAAAGTCCCATCCCTGCTGTCTTGTCTGGCGGCAGGGATAGTGCGTAACGTGTATTTTCCTTGATCAAAAAAGAACTACAACCGTGTACGCTTCATTGGTTAAATATATAGTTTTACTATGCCAAGAAAAAGGATGGTGCAACACATTTCGCAGTCAAAAAAAGCGTGACAGTTATCATTAAATTTAACATAAACTTAACTTTACTAATAAGAGATATTATTTGAAACATATACTCGTAAATGCCCATGCATTGCCTAAATACAATTAATTGAATAGATCCCGATTCTAAATAAATATAAATCAATGACTCTGAAATTTATATTAGATCAAAAACAATATTTTATCATACATTAAAGCTTATGTTACCCGTGTATGGTGCAAAATCGGCTCAGTAGTTTTAGAGATAATAAGTTTTGTGACATATTACATATACGCTAGTAAATTTTTAAATCGAAATTGGACACGATTCTTTCTGCAATCAATTTTGAACTCTAACCTCAACGTATTAAAGTTTAAATCGTTTAGAAAATTTTAACAGATTAAATCTCGTGCCGTCGACTGCAGTATACAGTTGAAATAGCGTCTGCGCGGTCGTGAGAAATGATACTATGTTCCAGCTTGTACATCTCTATTTAACTAAACAATCTTCGTCTTATATACTACTTCAATCTAAGAGGGGGATAGTAGGGTGCGTGATAAGTATATATTTATTTATTATTATGTCAGAATTTCATAATACTATAAATTGTTACAGCTTACATAATATAATTGTAAAAGTAACTGCTAAGGAAGCACATTTATCGAACGTGAATTAATTGCACACTAGTACATGATTTTTAATATTAAGACACTAGATAGTGTACAGTGTAGAGTATACCTGAGCGGCACTGTCGGCAGCACGACCCCCTCCAGCTTGAGCGCGAGGCGGTGGGACAGCGGCAGCGTGGCGGCGTGGTCGGCGGGGGGCGCGCGCCACGCGGGCGTCAGCGCCACGCGGCACAGCGCGCCCCCCGCGCGCCCCGCCACCACCCCGCGCGCCCACAGCCCGCCCGCGCCGCCGCTGCACGCGCGCACCGCCGCCAGGATCGCCTCTGCGTGCTGACCGAGTGACACACGCACACGCACGGACACGATAGTAATAACAAAAAAAAAACCCTGGTTGGCTGTATCATTGTTACAGCCATATTTTATGCGTGGATACGTATATGTATGAATGGATATATGAGTAATTGATAAAAAAATAAATAAACAAATTGAAGACACTAAACACTAAATAAATAAATATTCGTTGCGTTCATTTGTTGAATGAAAAAAGTATTCACTAGCGCCAACAGATGGCGTTAGTGCATATACTCCTGCTGACAGAATGCCCCTCCCCCTGCAGAGCAAGCATAGTTCACTTATACACCAATAGATGGCGTTAGTGCATATACTCCTGCTCACAGAATGACCCCCCTGTAGAACGAAAACATAGACGTATCCACGTCAAAAACTCATCGCAGAATAGTGTCTTATGTGCTAGATCTCATCACAGAGAAAAATTTCGTATGTGCTAGTTACTTAGTTCCCTGAGGAACTGTAGTCACTGCGACCTTGAAGATCTATTGTGATTCTACGCCAGAGCTATAGTAACTCCTTTAGCCCGGTAGACTTCAAAAAGTCTATAATATGGCTTTTAGAGATTTTATATCTCCTGGGCTGATTATATGTCGTCCCAGATGTATGCTTCGTTTGTGGATCAGTTGTCCACATTCACACAGGAGATGTTTTGGTGTTTCACATTCCTGTTTGCAATATCTACAAATGTCAGTGTGACTTTGTTTCATATTAAATAGCTGTCTGTTTAATCTGCAATGTCCAGATAAGGTTCGTACAATTGTACTTATATTTACTCTGTTTAGCTTCAAGATATCTTCAGCTAGTTTTTGTGAATGACCTTCAATTAGAGATTTAGCGTGATTTAATCCCGGTTTGTTGGTTACAAATACAGTTGTTCCAAGAGGGATATAGACAATTTTATTTAAAAATTATATTTTATAAATCCACATCTAAAATAAACATTTAAAAAAGTATCATTCATATAATAAGTTCAAATCTCCCGCGAAAACGCCACTTCTGTAATAGCGTCGCTATGACGTCATGGTCCTCTGAAACTAATCGTTCTATGTATGCATAAGGTTGAATTCTCTGAGTTCCGATATGAGTAAGAGTGTGACGTCACGCGCTGTATACAGTCACGTGACCGCATATTATAAATTTTAATAAGCATGAAAATGTAATTTTTAGTAATAGTATATTACAGCAGAAAAAAAATGTCTTTCTATCGTTTACTGTATACAACCGTATTGAGTTTGTGGTGTGACACTGATGATTTTTCTTTAAGAAATAAACTAAACTTTTTTTTTTTAATAAAAATCCAGTCTGTGTAAAGTTAACTATATATGTACTCACCCTGTGCGTGATGCCTTGACCAGTAGTATTATCGAACAGCTTGGCGGATATGTTAGTGAGGGCTCGACTGGGGGAGAGTGCTATCATCTCCTCCAGGGTCCTTGGTTTGATTTCATTGGTCGTCAACTCGGACGGCCGGTCTTGGGTGGACGTGATCCGATCCAGGAAATGTGCCAATTGGGCGTATGTGTGCTGGGCGCTGATTTTAGAGTTAAGGTGCGTGTATAGTATATACTGTTTGTAATTTTGGGTTATTGTAAAATTTTATTTAAAAATATGCTTTATTTTGTTTGTCAGAATTTGTTTTGCTCATTTTTAGTTGCTATTTGCCGGAAAACAAGAAATTAAAGAGCCTTTGATGATTTTATTAAATAATGGTTAACTTATACAATTATTCCTGTAACGTTAGAAATAAATGAAATATAGTTTTTAGATCGAAATGAGTAGTATTAATATAAGGATTGGATTTGTGTGTATCATTCACAATATAAAATAAAAACTTTGATGCCTTGCAATGCCTCGGTTTTTTAAAGTAGTTGATTAATTTCCGTTGGAACTCAATCACAAGTGAGTTTTTGTTTTTTATATTAATTCGATTGCAGCTGAATACAGCCCAACTAAAATAGCCAAGTCATATAAGCAAACATAAACATTATTTTTAATTATTGTATTTAGAAATTACTTGTACAAATAATGATAATTATACCGAGAGTAATTAATCAGAATATTATTTTACTTTAAAATATATTTGATGTGATGTTGGTTTGATAAAAAAAATTATCAGTGAGAAAATTTACAAAAATATTTCAGCGCATTTAATTTATTATTTTATCAATTCCTATACAAATTTTATAATGATTTAGATTTAACTTAAAATTTTAAATAATCATTCATTTATTTTATTATTTTGTATTATAATGTAAATAATAATCAATAAAAAGTTTTAATACTAATTCAGTAGAAAGAAATACAAGTACATAGCATAGTATGACAGATCTCACGATGTTTCTAATTTGGCCACCACGAGCGCTGCGATAGTTTGCGTTACCCCCCACCTATTACTTCGCACCCAGCGAATAGCATTTTATAAAAATTAATGTCATTAGCATTGATAAAGGATACATGTGCAGGTGCCTGAGCGTGGAATCGTCCGCGTGGAAGGCGGTGCGAGCGATCGCGGCGTACCGCTGCGCGACGGCCGCGACCGCGCGCGCAGCTTTACGGATCGCGTTTGCGCACGCGCCCGCTTTGGCGGCCGGGTCGCGCGCCGCCTTTGTATACCATACACATTTAAATATACTCTCATTTAATTCAGATGGAGATGATGGGTCGAAAGACAAGATTCGATACATAGATTTGTAGTTAGCTTCAATTGAGTAGCTAAACGCAACGTTCTACAATACCGCTTACAAGGGGCCAACAAATTAACGGTAAAAACAAAAATGTAGTGGATGATTTTATTTAAAACTCAAAAACTTCTATCTGTAATCGATACAGATACAGGACTGATCAAAAAGATGCTTATTCGCGATTATGTGGACACAACTCATCCGTTACGCCAGTGGGTTAAGCTTTAATTTTCAAAATAAGTTCTTAATATTAATTATTATTATTACAGAAAGTCAAGGTATATAGCGATTCAGACGACCACAGCGCCATATATCAAAATGAGAGTAAGCAATGTATTTGACTGTAATTGTTTTAGTATGTTCCTTATGATTTCGAAATTTTGGTGCTACAATAGCTAATAACAACATAAAATGATACACGACGAAGTTACTTCGGTCGCATAGGTCACGTGATAAGTTACAAATTTTAAGTATCTAGATCATTTTTTAACAAATAATAAAACTAAATTAACGTTTTGGCGGTTATCAAATCTGCCGACTCGTTGAACGGTCCAAATATCATAATGATTCAACTAGAAAACTAGGCGCTGTTTTAACTAGTCGACTGCGACATGTACATACAAATAGATGCCACGTGAACCGGATTATGCGTATACCTGCGCGTGCACGTGCGCGATGGCCGGCGGCGGCTGCGTGCACAGCGCGCGCGCGGCCCGCGCGGCGGCGGCGAGCGCCTGCAGCGCGTGCGCGCGCGCGTGCATGGCGGCGGGGGCCAGGGGCGCGCAGCCGCCGCAGCCCGCGCAGCCCGCCGCGCACCCCGCGCCCCACCCGCACCCGCCCACGCCGCACAGCCCGCTCACCTCCCACCCCGCGCTCGCCGCCTCCAAGCCCGTTATACCTGTCGACGATGTCGCCGACCCTCCTCTTTTAACGGTAGATTTATTATGGTTCATTCCTAATTTTTACTGTTTTTTCAATTAGCGTTCGGCTCCACCTATTACAATGCAAATACAAAATCGCTCCTCATTTGAAGTCAAAGGTACATGAAGAAATTCAACAAATTTTTGTACAGATTATGAGGTAGTTGAGGAATGAAAGTGGATGTAAATAAGTAAATTATTATTAGTTATTTATTTCGTTTAATTTTTTATTTCTTATTTGCCTAATCGAGATATATTTTTCAAGTTGCAGTTAAGTTTTAAAGCTCAGATTCGGGATTTTTTTTAATTTTATGAACTAGATTGGGTTGGGGTTGACGTGACTTCTGAAGCCCTGCAATCTGAGTTATCGGATTTTGATCTGACTTTTCAATGAGAACCGGAGAGTGCCTAGCCTTCTTATTAGTGTTGTTATCAACGGCGGAACGAATTATTGGTGTCGTATATAAGGCAAGGCGTACTTAAAAAAAAAATTACACATATATGTTAATAATGCTGTGTCAACCTATAATTGATGTATATATCGCACGTTGAGAATGACAAAGTCACTAACCAAAAACGACGTATTTTTACTTTTGGCAACATTTTTCTTTGTTAAGTATAAACTTTAAAATGCAAAGATCCCTGTGAACGTAGCTTGCATAGAAACTGCTAGGTGGCGTACTGACGATACGTTGTTTAAACGGGCTGATTACAATTTCTTGAACTTTAAACGCTCATTACTCAAAATCGCGTTTTTTGCATTGTGTCACTATCGTTCTCAACGTATGTACGATATAGGATTTAAACCTAACTGTAATCTAATGAAGTAAGTTAAAGTATGTATGTTGTTGGTTGTTCATATGAAATAAATAAATTAATATTATAATATAACAATGTATGTACGTTTTGGGAACTAATAAAAGTATGTGATTGTTTTAATTATGAGTACACTATGAAATGTGCCTTTTTTACTTAACCTACAGTTTTCTCCTGTTTTTATTTTTTTATTTTATTGGTGAGTTGTTGTTTTCTATTTTGTTAGGGTTGGCAACACTGCCTATCGACCTGCTCTGTTAGGAAAACACCCGGTAGCCAATTCGAACTCGTCGAGCGTAGCGCGTCATTTCATACAAAGTCAAATAGTAGATAAAGTTCCGGTTCCGTCACTGCCTAATTCCAATAAAAAGGGACTCTGTAATGATGACATTTGAACAACTTTTTAGAAAAACAATCGAAGCGTATGTAGATAACGATCACTTCGGAGACCTCTTTGTTAGTTTATATGTATTTATAAATACGAAAAAAATTTGAAACTGAAACTCCTGACGTTTTAGATTTTTATTTTTTTCTTCTAGTGTTTCAAAACATTTTTTATTGTTCACGTCCTGCTCCGGATGATATATACCGTGAATACTTTTATAAGAAGCTGCTGTAGACTTTGCGTTGTGTCAACAAACAATTGAAAATGTATTTTCTTTTAGTTTCACTGTAATCTTTGATGAAAATAGGATAGGGCCAACATGGGAAACCTGTGGCACACCATACGAAGCTCAATAAGGCGCAGACTCATAACCATGGACAGTCAGGAACTAGAGTTTTCTTTGATAAATAAGATTTAAACCGATGGAAAAAGAGACCCTATGATATAAAATATCTCCAGCTTATTCAAAAGTTGAGAACTTAGCTGATTTGGTTGAACCATGGCTGACTTTGTCAAAAACATAAGCAAAATCCGTATAAATTAACCTCTATCAAGTTCCCTTGTCAAATGCAAAACAAAGCCAATAAGATTAGTTGCAGTAGAACATCCAGAACTAGAACACGTAATCCTTGATTACTAAGTACCGTGAATTTAGGTACTCTTTCGTCGGTTTGGAGTGCAATCGCTTTAACAGTGTTTTTTCAGCCATCTTTGTGAAATATTTGATCGGTTCCGAGCAGTTTCAAGCGTATAACCCACGCCATTCTGTGCGAAAAGGAGAGTGCCGTTAAGCATAGTACAGGTTGTAAATAATATAACTAACTAACTAACCTTCTTTTATTAGTGTAGCGTCAGCGGCCGCTGCCCGATGTAAAGCAGTAAGCCATCTTTGAGCAGATTCACTAGGTGCTTCTTCTGATAATCGTTTCAAGATATCTGCTGCTAAGTTATGGTGGCCGTATCTAAAGAAAAAGTGTATTTTAAGTGAACTGAGTAAATCAGTTGCTCATGCCAAATCAATATCACTGGAACTTGATTCTTGATTATTGAAGGAAATACTGGCGATCGATTTACGAGTGGAGGTTGATCAATAGCTTTTGATTAGGTAACGAGCCTAATCAAAAGCTATTGATCAACCTCCACCTGTGCCGATTAAATTATGAGTGGAGGTTGGTCAGTGGCGTTCGTTAAGCGAATGATGTTTTTTATTTTTGTTGCCCGACCAACATTTCTGGCCGAGCCCTACTCTGCCCCCCACTTTTTGGCCTTAGCGAATGATGGTTAGCTTATGGTGATCAATTTAAAGTAAGTGAATGATGGTTAGCCTGTGGTTATAAGCTTAATAATGGTGGCTGTTGCTAGTGGGTAATTAGTGAATGATGTTTGCGTAATATCGATCAATGGTGAAATTTTATCTCATGACATTTCTATACATCGTCCACTTTCTTTACCACTATTTTCATAATCTTGTAACCGATTAGTGACAGATTGTTAATATTTTAAAATATATGTTTCTAACCTCAATGCGGCCCTGGCAACTCTATACCGCGTCCAGCCGTCTACTCCCCTGATGGTGTCCATGATCCTCTTCTCCCACGCGTTGTTGATCTTGCAGGTGAGTGCTGTACCCGCACGCTCTTGGAAGAGAACTGTGCATAACAACACTAAAGCTGTTCCGTCGCCATCAGACGTTGGGTCTCTATAGTGCATAAATAAATATATTACATGATTAAAAAAGGTAGGGTACTTCATTAAGTTAACTAAATAGTGTTTTAATAGGATATTTTACAAGAGGTAATTTGTCGAAAACAACTAATTAATATGTATTTGTAAGTATAAAAATAACTGTGTCGTGTAAAAAATGGTAAATTGGCTATAGATTCTCATTTTATTACAGACTGTTTTTATAACTATTTAAATTGTTAAGTTTCCATCGCGACATCAAGTTTATCGGTTTATAAAATGTATATTTATGTTTCAATTATTGTATTGATAATAATTATAGCACATTAAATTAAATTATATTTTTTATTTGTCCTAAAACATGATCCTGCTCAAGGGAGATCAGCTGTTAGCGGAGCTGGACCCGGTGGGCTCCTTATCGGATCCCGGGTCCTTCCTTCAAATCAAATCAAATCATTTATTTGCAGAATACAGGTAATTCATAGAGATGGTATACAATTAATGTCAAACTTATTCAGTATTTCACCACTTGGCGTACAAAATTATTATTAAAATTATAATTAAAAAATATTATTATATTATTAAAAAAATATAATTAAATTATTAAAAAAATACAATAAAATTTATCATTCAAATATGTCATTTAAGAATTCGCTAACATTATAATAAGCTTTGTCCAATAACAAACATTTTAAATTGGTGCGGAAAGTGCTTAAAATATTGTTTTTTCGATGTCCTGAGGTATCTTATTGTAAATTCGAGGTGCCATACATAGTACACTGTTAATTATAAGCCATGTCCTGTTACGTGGAATACATGGTTTGCTTTTTAGTGTTTTACTGATAAATTTTTATATAAGTGGTAATTAGTCCTCACAAAAAACTATTTAATATATATACACAAAAGTTACAGAGATATAAAATAGGGTTTACAACTGTCAGTTTGTTTTATAGGGTTTCTGGGATGGTACTCGAAGTGGGTTTTACCAGGTAGGCCGGCCACGCTTGAGCCTGTACTTTTTAAGTTGGGTGCAGGGTCCGAGAAATCTTGTTTAAGGTTTAGGTTGCATTTACGCTGCGTTATAAGGGTAATCAGCCTTGGCCCGGTCCGGCCCTATAGCGGGTAGGTTAGGTTAGGTTAGTTTTTTTTTTGCCTTGACGTTGGTTAGATAACAAGAAATAGCTTGTTTGTCGTATGTGTAGATTGATGGTAGGTGAGCAAATCGCTCTAAGTGATTCGTTGAAGATAGAGGGCTGAACTCTCTCTCACCGGATGCCTCGAGATGCTACTCTGGCGAAAGAAGAGCTCTTACTCTAGCAAGCGTGGACAGCATCCACAAGCATAACAGCTTCGAGATGCAGTTATGCCAGGGTATCCGCCCGTTGGAAGAAAAGAAAGGATAGGAAAGATTATAAATGATATACTATATAACAATACATATGCAAATATCGAGAATATATAAAACATATATAATAAAAGGTTGGGTTAGGTCACCTGCAGTGAGCGTCGAGCGCGTGCAGGAGGGCGGGCAGCGCGGGCGCGATGGAGCGGGGGCAGTGCGTGCCGCCGCCGAGCGCCCCCAGCGCCTCCAGCAGCGCCGGGGCCCGGGGCCCGCGCGCCAGGGCCCGGGGCCCGCGCGCCGCCTCCATCAGCTGCGCCCCCACCACACTGGCGGTCCGCGCCGCGTACACGCTCGGCTCCGCAGTGCACAGTTTCACCTGACATTGTGCAAAATTTATCAAATATAAGGCTCTTTTTAACTGACTTCACGATCGAATAGGAAAAGGAGGTTATATGTTCGACAGTGATGTACTTTTTTTTATGTATGTTCAGCAATATTTCTGCCAATTGTTGACCAATTTTTTAAAATTCTTTTTTATTAAACCGATACACCAATGTTCATTGATATAAGTATAAAAAAAAAAGAAGTTTCATACAAACGCTTCCACCCTTAGGGGTGGAATTTCCACAATTCCTTTCTTAGTGCTTATTTACGTTATATAAATCACTTACATGCAAAATTTCAGGCTTCTAGGTTCAGCGGTTTGGACTGTGTGTTTATATATGGATAAGTGTAAATTTATTTTACGATAAATATAACATGTATGTGTGTGAGTGTGTATGTAACTTACCAAACATCTAAGAGCTATACGAAGTGCTTTTATATTGGCTGCCCCGTCGTCGACGCTGGTCGCTATAACTAGAGCCTCCAGAGCGAACATCAACTCTGAACCGTCCACAGGTAGACTTTCCTCGTAACTAAATAATAATCATCGAATTTTCACTTAATTTATTAAAACTAGTAGATTGGTTCCCTACTAGAAACTTTATCATTACAGCAAAAAATACTTCTGATATTAAAATTCATGAATGAGTTTTTTTTTTTCTATAAAAAAGACTCTATATTATCTCTTCTCTTTTATTCAATAATACCTAATTGTTAAATGAAAAATAACGAATAACAGTAAATTGCCTGGTCTCTTACTCTCAATCTTCTTAAAGTTCAAATATCCCCTATAATTGTTACTGCCCCAAGGCACTATTCTGGGGCCACAATTTTATATTTCTGGTAGTTTAATAAGTTTTGTATGATATTTACCAATGAACGACAATTCGGGTAAGTACATCGCACGCAATGGCAGCCTGATGAAGATCTATGCTGAGAGCTGCATCCGAGCAGTATTGCCGTAAGGCACTACTCTGAGACCCTGCCGCAGCACAAATAGCGGGGCATTCTACGAGAATCTGTATGCAAAAAAATATTTATATGCAATAAAATTTCTTAATTCATTCAATTATGGCGAATGTGCTGTTGATTGTGTAATCACCAAACCATTTTAGCGATTGCGACCGCTACATTTTTGAAAATATTTAATTAACAATATATTAATTGCTATAAACATTTTCCTTTTAGTTTTGTATATTTGTTATCCCAAATCAATATTAATTATTATTATTAATATAGTATGCATATTCCTTATAAAATAAGTTGAAAGATAATGAATAATTAGAGGTTCCATAAACTGATTGCATGAAATTTCTTATGAAAATATTGTTAATAAAACGTACAGAAAATAAAAACACTTACTTGCATAACCTGCAGACAAAGCATAGTATGCTTAGTGTCCTGGCTATCAGTGGCTGCTCGGACTAGATTTTGTAAGCATTCATTTGGCCAAAGGGCCGCCTGTTCAGCTAGCTTCTTCAAACCCACAAGAGCAGCGCGCCTTACTGCTGATCGGGCGTCGTTCATAGCAATGCTTAGAAGGAGTTCCACCTGACACATGATTTATTTTAAAACACGGAAAAGAGACTGACTCATTAGCAAAGGGTTTCTCACCATTATATAATTTTAAAAACTATAGGCCTCTTGTAAGTTTATCAGTAATCCTTAGATAATGATAAATTTTCTTTTCTTTTCAATAATATTAGGCTTAGTTGCTACAGAAATCATGAAGTAATTTTCAGCTTTTTTAATTAAATAATATACATCAGATCTTCATCCTTTTCATTTGATATGATACTTTTTAATTTTTCTTATTATAAAAATGGGATATTTCAATTCACTTATTATCCATTTAACTTGTCTTTGTGTATTTAACTTGTCATGTTAAATACACAAAGACAATATAATTATAAAAATAACTTACCTGGTCTGGAACATGAACCACTGTATCTGCTGCTATTGCTGTCAATGCAGTTATGGCTGCACGCACTGAACTGGATGAGGGAAATCTCTCTAAAAGTGACCTGAGCAATTTCAAGACCCCTTGGGCACGAACAGCTAAAATTTAAAGAGAAGTCTTAAAAACATTGAAACTTTTTAATATTCTGCTATCAAAATACAGTAGAATCCCGATTATCCGAACTCATTCATCTCAGCTTTAATTGTCAACTTAAAAAAAATTCACAATGCAACAAGACATGTTATGAAACGTTTATTCCTGTCTCCGACCATGATTGTGTTCCTCCGATCCGATTGTGTACTTAGGTCCTGTGATTCTGTAAAAATCTGAATCTGTCTTCGAATTCACTCAGGTGTCCGAATTTACTTCAAAAGCGGCACCCGCTCAACCTTGAATTGGTTATAACGCTTCGTGGATAAGTGAAGTGAGTTTTGAAATTATAAAGGAATAGAATATTTGAGATACGTATTTATCAATTAATCTTATTTTATATTTTTATACGAAAATGGATCCAATAGAATTTCTACATTAAATGACGTGTATCCGACACGTGACTGAATTCGAATTCGGATTTTTTACAGACTTGCTCTCCAGCTCTCTAATTTTTTCAATTACCTTTAAGTGATTAAGTAAAAAGACTACCTTTTCGGCACAAATGTATACTATCACTATCATGCAAAAGCTTTTGTAGCTCTTGATGTTATTTTGAAAGACACAATGAATCGTGCCCCATACAGATGTTAAAACTGAAGCGCATCAAGGATGATATTTATTACATCAAAGCAAAGATCAATAACATGTTATTTCCAATTACAGTTATAAATTATATAGGTATTTATTTAATTCATTATCAATATAGCTTGTTTTTTATATATTGTATCTAAGCCACGATGAATGGAAACCCAATATCAAAATAAAAATTGGTTAAATTTTCAAAATTAATTGATTTTATGTTGAAATTGATTATCCGGATTTTCGATTATAAGAAATACCCCTTGTTTTAATTGATTTGGATAATCGGGATTCTACTGTAGTTTTAAAATGTCAATCACCTCCTCCGTGGACACTCCTCAGTGCCCTAACTAGTTTGGCTCTTCGTTCAGCTCCAGTGCTTTCACATTCCACCATGTCAGAAAATTTATTACACATTGCCACTGCAAAAGTGCTGAAAAGTAACAGTATTATGAACTATAACTTTTTTATCTATGGAGAACATTATAATATGATTTGAAAATAGTCTTATAATTTTCTTAAAACTAAAACAGTACTCATATATTATTACATTCATACCTGCATGAATATGAGTTACTATTAAATTATTTACAAAATATAGTATAAATGCACTTACTTGGAATGTGCAGCAAATCTAGTGGTGGCATAGATAGCAGCATCTACTTCTACATTATCATGGCTGTCTAGGCCTCTCCTAATAGCATGATGTACATTCTGTCTCTCTGGAATAATGCCAGCCACTGCACCAAGTGTGCGTAAAGCTAAAGCTCTTGCTACAGGATCATTAGAATGTAGAACACTGTATACTCTTCTCAAGAACTCATCTACATTTAATATTTTGTCCAAATGCTTCTCACTTTGTTGACAAACTCGTAGAACCCATAGCCTTAAGAAATTGTTGCCCATTCGAAATACATCAGCTAATTTTAGGAATGACGAGTTGATGAGTATAGGAAAAGGATATTTCTCGAAGAGGCGAGGGAAACGCACTATAGCTTCGCATTGTTCACCCACTTTCCCAGACCGTAGACCTAAAAGTGCAAGGGCTTTAGAATTTCTGTATTTTATTTGATATTTTGTTTGCAGTAAATAGGTTATGTTAAATACCTTTGTCAAGTTCCGTAAGTGCTGAATTAGCATCTTGTTCGGGCTCACCAGAACTGTCATTGAAGGTATTTAAACGTACACCAATCATATTTATTTTAACTTTTTATTTATTATTCTTTCTAATTTAATAAGCACAGTTCAATATTCTAATAACAAAATCCACAATACAAAACACATGAAATGTCAATGTCAAACATATGTCAAAGGTATATTGACATTAGTTTTCTCTTTACAATATCAGCCATAGGATGTCTATCATAATATCTCAATATGAAGAAAGTCAATAATAAAAATGTTAGCTGTATAAATTCACTCCAAATTACAGGTATAATATTTAGGTAATTTTATTTACCGAAATGAGGAAGTGTTAAAAAAACATTAGTTCTCGAAATCAAACTAGATGTCGCTACGGTACGTTCTTGTTTTCTCCATGACAACTCTTTCGGTTTTCTTTCATGTCTAAAAGTAAATAAGTTTTCAAAACTCAATAAACAATTCATATTCTATTTGTACTTTTTCGTATTTTTATTGATATCTAAGTTACGAACTTTTCAAATTTCAGTTTTTTTATATGTAAGTTAAAAGTAACAGAAATGGTGGAGGTGCTTTTTTAGTGCTTTTGTTTTTTTTAATACTTCCTCATTATAATTATTATCTGACCGTAACTGACAACTGTAAGGATTTCAATTTTATGTTATTTACTATTGGATAGTAATAAGGTAATGTTCATATGCGTCACTTGGTGGCGTTAGTTGAGAGGATGTAGCGTTTAGATCTCCTTTTTTTATTTATTTATGCACTTTGATATAGAATTTTAAATATTTACCTACTTATCCGGAGTTAAGATATAATAGTCATCTTAAAACTAACTAATCGTGAGTCGGACTAGCGCACGAAAGTTTCCGTCCATGTCATCTATGAGTAATAATACCTACGTTGTTACATATAAAATCTATCATAAAACACACCTGTCTACTTTAGGATTTAAGTTTTCCGCAAAAGTCAAAGACTACTTATTATGTTTCAATTATAATATTATGTAATTAGAGTTAGACAATATCACATTGCTAGATTCCAAATAAAGTAGCTGAAGCACTTAAGTATGGACATTAGAAACTTCCCCAAGCCTTATGCAAAAATCAAAATTAAATACTCATTTTGTAAATCAAAGAACTTTTAGGTATCGATATATTAATATTAGAAGGGTTTTAGGAATAAGAAGTTATTAAATGTATTTATTTCTTATTATTTTAAGTAAGTAACAAAGTATGCAAAGACTGACACATTATGCTTCAGCTATTCAGTAAATTGAACTCCTACAAACTATCTCAGCTGAAAGCGGACTCTTATAATTAAGTATACTAACAAGTTAAAATTTGTAACATTACCCTAAATGCACGGCAGATTCTGTGATACGGAACAAAGCTGTATTTAGCAAAATTCTAGTTTCGGCTCTCAAAGGAGGTAATTACAGCCACCTGTGAAACATTACCCGTGTGTGTCGCCTTTACAGAAGGGATGGCGCCAAATCGAAATGCTTCTTTCTAAATATGGCGGATCTTGGGCGGATCGATATTTAAAGATTTTTAGAAGTTTTTGTTTGGCTAAAGATATCGCTAATCTCCTGAAATATGATTATTAATAGATTTATTGTAAAAGTACATTTAAATAGTCCAATATTTTTTCACCTAGCGTTCGTTCGGACGTCTTTTGTCTGATAAGAAGAAGCTCACCAGAGCATATGTAATAATAAAATTTACAAAAAAAAAAAAATACAATAATTATGCGTAAAAAACAGCTGTCTTGATTAAACAATGATTTATTACAATAGCATTAAAGATATTTAACATTACAGCATCGTGAGTGCAAAAATTTATCAAATGAAATGAAATGAAAATGTTTTTATTCAAGTAAACTTTGTTACAAGTACTTTTGAATCGTCCAAAAATATTTTTTACCCTACCACTTGTTCAAGACGTCTTTTAGTTGACAAGAAGAACAAGCGAAAGAAACTTACCAGCTTTTTATCATAAGTAATGACATTTACATAAATCATGTCCTTACCAAAATAATACATATATTGAACAATAATAAATACAAGTTTCAAAGTCTGTAGAACATAGGTTGGTACATACCTATAACTTTATAATAGCCTTTACTCATAAGTATATTCTTTACATGAATTTGAAATTTATTTATAGGTAGGTCAATTACATTTCGTGGAACTTTATTGAACATAGCAATACATTTACCCAGAAATGATCCTCTGGTTTTTTGAAGTCTGAAGCTTGGAACGGCAAGTTTATTTTTATTTCTTGTGTTAAGATTATGAACACTACTTTTTTGTGAAGGAATCGTAATGTTTTCTTGTGTACATAATACAATGAGTTTAATAACATAATATTCTCATAGATGTATTGAGAGGCAACAGTCAGAATATTTATTTCTTTAAATATTTCTCTGTGAGATTCCCTAGACCGTAAATTATATATAGCACGGGATAGCTCTATTTTGCAGAATAAAAATATCCTGAATGCTAGTATATATATAATTAGAATAAATTTTCTTATCAATCGAAAGTTGTAAATATTTGTCAACATTTTTCCTTCGGCTGTTTTGGTGGATTGTTTGAATGTTTAAGACAACGTTCACTAGAAGCGACAAGTATATGTCCTGCTTAAAAAAATCGTCAATCGTATTGGGTCTACAGTAGCTCAATGGTTAGAGCAATCATTCGGATTGCGAAAGGATTGTTCGGATCCTATCTTAGGGTACTTGAGGATTTTTTAAGCATTTTTCTATACAAGCATACATACACTAGCCGATTGTAAAAGCGAGCCGCACTGCATGCGGTTTTTCGTTTTATGCTATACGTCTAATCGCTGGCGTTTAAACACAGTGCGGAAAGCTGTGCGGAAATATCTGAAGCAAGATTATAGAAACATTTAATTTAATGCTAGCAAATATCCAATCGCTTCAAATCTTGTGATATGTGATGAAAAAAACTATATTTTTGTTATCTTAACATAAGTCATATACAAAATGAATATTATCCATTAAAATAAAAAGAATTCCACCACTAATGACTTTGTTGTAAACCGATAAACAAGCACCCGTGTCAATCGTGACTAAAACATTGATAAAGACAACTGTGAGAAAAAAAAAGATAATGCCAATGACAAAAAGATATTGTGCAAGATAAAAAAAAATAAAGACAAAAGGTAGTTTTTATGAAAATATTTTGCGTATATTGGAAGGATTAGTTGATAAAGTTGCTATCTACTAATCCATGCGGTGACGAATGCTTCTTCCGGAACAAAGGTGTGTTTTGGTAGATTTTTAAAAGTAAAAAATCGCTTTTGTTCACTAAATACTGGTAAGTAATCGATGCCGGACATGCAAGGATTATGGTCTGGACAGTAGCTGATTTTTCACAATGAACTTTTCGTAGAAATTGCTGTGATGTTCCGTTGACAAGTTTATTTGCAGTTAGATTTTATGACTTATACTCTTTATACCGATGGGAATAGGTTTCAAAATGGGGTGGAAATACAGTGTGCGATGTGAGAGTTATATTTGCCGGCGCATACGCAGAGACCACGCTCGAAATGTCTGGTTCATTCAAGGCAGTCGCATTGTTACGAAGGATTTGTAGTTATTAAGCTGCATTATGGTTCTTTCGTCGAAGGATTAGACCCTAATGAAGATAAGATTGAGTAAGGGTTTGTGTACGACGGATGTTAAGATTTGCCATGACTTTTGCATAGCTTTATTGTTGCAAATGTAAATCTTTGGGATTTTAAAGTATGGATCTGGGACATGGGAAAGTGGAACATTAGCGAACAGGATGGACTGGTTCACGTTGTAGGTCTTTGTGTAAAAGAAGAAGCTTTTTTGTTTTACATTTTAATTTTAAGTGGCCTTATTTCATGACAACATTAACGTTATAGGGACGATGACTATTTTGTTTTGTCTGTCCATCAAGTAAATCATTGAAAAATATTGAACACGTATTTTTTTGCCTAACCAATAAATAACGCGGATATGTTGAATTAAAATGTCGTATGGCGTCATACCTTTGTACATTTTCAACATACTTGTGACGTAGCGAACCCCCACTCCGTAATTTAAATGCCTATTATATAAGCCATTACTTATCAAATTGAAAGAAAATGTTTTTGTATTATCTGACTAAATAGAATTTCTTTTTTTTTACCAGGCATCATCCCGATTATATCTTCATAATATTTTTAAATATATCAAATGTTTTCATCGAAAGCAAATACTCCATTGGAGATGTCATTTGTGTTTATACATAGCGTAGGTATATTGCAAAACTTTATTTTCAGCGAGTAGATGTTTTTTATACATAGTATAAAACAAGACCCTAAAATCTTTTAAACAAAATAACGGATTTTAATGAGGTTTTCATTAATATACAGTGATTCAGACGGAAGGTTTATATACGTATAATGCAGTAACACGCGGGCGAAGCCGCTGGCGGAAAGTTATGATATCATAAGTGAAACCTTCGTCGTCATACATTACTACATAGTATAAAACAAAGTCGCTTTCTCTGTCCCTATATACACATATATGCTTTAATCTTTAAAACTACGCAACGGATTTTGATGCGGTTTATTTTCGTAGATACGGTGATTAAGAAGGAAGGTTTTTATGTATAATACAAGACCACGCGCGCGAAGCCGCTGGCGGAAATCTAGTATATTCTATGATGTTGTTTATAACCTGGAAGTTATAAAAAAGCAACTCATTAAGGTTTCTTCAGTTTAAATAACGTTTATTAGGAAAGCTCTCCGCTAATAACTCATTTTAAGGCTTTTTCAGTCTAAATAATATTAATTAAAAAAGCTATCCGCTAATATCTTTGAGGACGTCTAAATAATTATTGACACAATAATAATAGGTGCGATCATCTCATCACAGTATCACGATAGGAGAGCAAATATTTGTCTGCATCCATCACATTGGATACTCGCTAATCCCGAGTGAAGAGACTGTATCCACCATAATACAGGATCCCCTCACACGCGCACAATGGCCCGGCTACAATGCACCCGGCCTTGGCCCACACTATATTTATTTACAGGGAATAATACACAAATAATAAATAAAGGACTTTTTGCAGCGCCCGTT